CAGAGGGAAAGGCCGGCATCGAGCTCAAAGCTCACGAGGAAGTGATCTGACCATGACAAGGAAATCAGATGCAAATTCTTCACCCTCAGATCACCCTCTTCCTGCCCCGTCAAGAAAACCAGGTCCAGCGTGTGACCACATTCATGGGTTCAGTTAAAACACATTCAGTTTAAAATGCTATATAGCAGGAGACAATACAATAGGTTAATTTTAAAGATTTAAAAGTCTGGATTAAATCTCTACGGTGTCATAATCATCTGAAGATGAGTTACCATTGGCAAAATGGTCAATCTCTGGTCATCACCCACACAACTGTGCATAGTGGATAAGCCCGTACAAAGCCCTCCCTAGATAATCTCAAAGCATGGGCAACTTCTGGGGGTAGTGAACCTTAAGATACCCTGATCCCAAGCATTGTAGAGTTTTGTAGGTTAACACTTGCACTTTGAATTGCATCTAAACCAGATCCCAGTGTGCATGCTTTAAAATGGGGGGGGGGGGGGATTCTTCCCATATACCTTCTATCTTTTAGCAGCCCCATTGGAGAATTTCATATTAACTGAAGTTTCTGATTTTACTGGGGTTATTATAGCATTGCTGTATAGATCACTCCAAAAGGCAAAGAACAGGAGTCTACAAAACTGGAGTTCACCAACAAATTAATTTGTGTTAACTATGGATTAAGGGTAGGTCCCCCGTTTGCCTACAGATTAGCTATGGATTTACTTACAGGTGTAGAACATAAAGCTTTCCAGATAGTGTTGAACTATGGTTCCCATCAGTCTGATAATTGGTCATGCTGGGCTGAAATGTTGAGACTTGAGTCTAATAGCATCTGGAAGGCCATCTGCTCCCCACCCATTACTTATGGATTGATTTTAAGTGCTTTGACCTCAGTATTCAGCAGAAAATGTTCCTGGAGTGATTTACATACAACAAGACAGTTCCCACCCATTGGCTTGCAAGCTAAAAGGCATGACACAAAAGAAAAAAAATTAGGGAAGGGAGGGGGGGACAAACATAGACACCAGTTCTGAAAGTTAGCTATTCTTTCAAGAGAGCTAATGAAGAGGTCCTGATTCCCATCTCAACCTGCTTGGAATGGCCGCTACCCTGTGATAGATGAGAGACTCTTAGAAAGTAGAGCCTGACATTTACAGTTAGGGTTTGTTAATATTACAATATTAAACTCACTTCAAGCCTGTTGTTTTTTAAATAGTTTATTTTATAGACAATAATGTTTTACATTGGAAAAAAAGGGAAAATAATTGCATGATATAAAAGGGTGCACTTTATTCTTTGCAGCAAAGTAGTCATACATTAAAGATTATCAAACAGAAATCTAAGGCTAAAATCTTTAAGCTTTGGACATTGTTCAAGTGCAGTAGTCAAAGACATTCCCCATTACAGTTGCTACTTACCATATTTTTCGCTCTATAAGACACACCTGACCATAAGACGCACCTAGTTTTTAGAGGAGGGATCCATGGAAAGCTTCCTGATAATCACAGGCACATTCCCCATCACTTCCCCATGGGCTTCATTAAAAGACGGGTTGCTATTTGAAAACACACACCGACCTGTGATTAACAGCTCTCACCTGCGCCGGAGGAGGGGGGCGGAGCAGGGCGCGCTGAGCGCGTGCCGGTCCGGTGTGGTGCAGCCGGGCTGGCAGCGTGCCGGTGGTGGTCTTCCGGGCGGCGCGGCGGCAGCAGGTCTTCCCAGGCGGTGGGGGTGAGCAGTCCGTCTCTCCGTGCGGCTGGCAGGTTAAAGCCCGCGGCTGCTCCTCCGCACTGCTCCCCCTGAGCGGCACAGCTCTCACCACCGGCCAGGTGGTGCCACGTGATGCAGGCGGGCCGGCAGCGTCCTGCGCTCCGGGCACACACACATTCACTCTATAAGACGCACAGACATTTCCCCTTACTTTTGAGGGGGAAAAAAGTGCGTCTTATAGAGCGAAAAATATGGTATCTCCCAATGAGTTCAGGGTGATTCAGAGGAAGTATTTAAGTGCATATCATAACAAGCAAACACATTCAAATATTCATTATAAGGCAGATTTTCTTATCTAGAAAACTCACAAGCTGTGATGATGTGTGATATTATGACATTGTAAGGCAACAGTTTGTTTAGAATTTGTTTTTTCCCTAGTTATAAAATGTTTAAAGTGTGTGTGGGTAAATAGTCACATAGGAAAATGAAACATAATTCCATCTAGTAAAGCAACTGTAATAATGCATATATACATATATATCAATATAGCTTAGGGCATTGACAATAGTATGCAAGAAAATTCTAAATGTGGACATTTGATCATCATGTTGTGCTTTAAATATTAATTGGATGTTCTCAATATGTAATAATTATTAACTTTACTGTTCACAGTTTTGTGGAATTATAACTATAGCTTCCCTATAAGTTCATTCTATTGAGGGCAACTCTTAAGAAAATAAAAGTGCATAAATAGATGCATACATTAATTATACATATATGGGGCTTCACCTTTGACAAGTGTAGTCAAGAAGCTAGACTTTTTCGAATGTGGCTCAAAATGACCTACATTTGCTTTTGTTTTTTTAAAATAAAAAAATACCAGAAATCAGTTGATGGGAAGCAGCAAATGTTACCCTTTCCTACAATGTTCCAAAAGAAGTAGTTGCCACACAGTAAACGAAATAAGCTTCTGAGTAGGAGATCACAGGGGTTCTTTTTGGCTCTTGATGGTAGGACTCATAACTAACTCATAACTAGGAATGTACAGTCTGGATCCAAGTGGCAGTAGTCTGAAACCACCTTGAGTAGATGAGCTTAGGGCTTCCTATAAGGTCAGTTATGTACCTTATTGTTTTTAATCCTGTAAGGTGCTTCACATGTCCACAAAAAATATTTGTAAAATATTAGAGTAAAATTACAGAGTAAAATATTCAATAAGATAAATGAAATCCAGTCCATATTATGTACCTTGTTTTTATCACTGTCTGATCTCTACCTTATGAGGAGATGGAAGGAAATGTTTAGCTCCAATGCCAGACTCTCAAATGGCAGTAATGGAATGCACACAGAAAGAATGAGAGAGAGAGAGAGAGAGAGAGAGAGAGAGAGAGAGAGAGAGAGAGAGAACCGTTTATAGCTGATAAACTATAAATTTAATCCAGGGGTGGGCAACTTGTCACCCTCCAGATGGTTTCGGTTACAGTTCCAGTCAGCCTTGCCCAGCACAGACAATGATGAGGGATCATGGGAGTTGTAGGCCAACACATCAGGTTGGCCACCTTTATTTACTTGGTTGGGCCAGATGCCATCATGTGTTTAGTGGAGACTGATTTTAACTAATATACAATCCTATGCCAAAGCAATCCCTTCTGGGCTCAGAGAGGATCACTGCTGAATCCTGCCGAGCTAGTACAGCCTGAAGCATGATGCCACCCTGTTCCAGTAGAAACTACCATCTCTTTCCCCAGCACAAGAGCTGTTTTGCCAATGTCTCCTGACCTTTCCTGTTATACCCAGTTTGGACTTTCAGGCCTGCCTAGTGCTGGTTGTGGATGTTAGTTCATGGCTGCCTACCACTAGCCTATGGAGTTCTTCACTAAGGAGATAATGACCTTTCCTGATTGTTCAGTTGGATATTGTAAATGGAAGATGATACAGACTGCTAGGGTAGCACCATCACTAAATGTTGATCATTGTCTTCCATGCATGGCCAATGTGGGGATTTATTCAGAAGCTCTGCTAGCTTTGAGGGGGCCTGCACATGTTGCTTTTCTGCTGCCTCCAGGCTGCAAGCCATCTTGGACCCCGCCCACCCATCTCAACCTTTTTCTTTCTTTCACTGGCAGCAGCTTTTCCTCCTAGCCCAAATGAGAGCACCGCAGTAGCCAGCCTATCTGTGCACTGCTCCTCTTATCTCAATGACCCCTTCTGCCTCAAAGGTCGCTCTAATTGGTACAGATAGCCCTTATTCAAACTGTAAAGGGAAAACATTTTTAAATTGGCATGTCACGGAACCTGTTGCCTTGCCAGCTGCATTTGCTAGTGGGATCTAGTTAGGAAAAGGAGGTGCCATGGCAAGTGCCTCTGTCTTCACAGGATCACTGGGGGACCCAGACCTGTGCCCAACAGAGTGGACATAGCAGCTTCAAGGGCCATCTGTGTGCAGATGTGTGAGGGGTGTGCGGCAGTATAGTTGCAAAACATCTTGTGGACATACAAGCTGGGGTTGCTGCTTTGCCTCTTGATTCTACAGCTGTTGCCATTGCTGATGGATGGCTTAGGACTGTGACTATGTTATGCCAGCTTTAATGGTGGCTGGCATAAGTAGACCACAGGATTGTACTGTAAGTCTAGATGTTTCCTGTGTGACTTTAAAGATGTCTTTTATTTTTGTTTCAGTTCTTCATCTAATGACTACAGACAGCATGCTTCAATGGAGTCTGAAAATATTGGGTGTGATCCAAACTAAGCTGGTTGCACTTGGTTCCCATTGAAATCAGTATGCGTTAAGAGAAGACTAACTTGTCCCATTCATTCAGTGGGACCTGTATTAGTCTGGATTCAACCAGTTATGCTCCTTCCTATTTTTAATTATTTGTAATGATAGATATTTGTATATAAAAATATCAGTTCTGTTATCTGTTGCTAACTATTAGTAACATTTAATAGAATGCAGATTAAAATATGTTGTTGTTCAGGCCCCATCCATACAAAACAAAAGTGATAGTTGGAAGCAGTCACCATCTACAAAATGTATCCTCTACCATTTACAAAGGGAAAATCAGTATTAGTCAGATGAAGGCCAAACATTTCTTTTGGAATACTTGAACATTAGGGCAGTTTAGGATCTGTAAGTTGATTCTGGAATCTGCCAAAGCAACAATAATTGTGAGGGGCACTGAAACTGTATGTTCTGCAGCTCTACTAATCTGTTTTTGGCCTATGTATGGTACTGCTAACTGGTAATGATAAAAAAGTAAATGCTACAAAATAAATTTAGACATAAATTCTCACAATAGTAGTTTATGGATCAGGCTGAAACACTATTTGCTACCACAAAAAAACAAAAACAAAAAAAAACGCACCATAAACTGTTCCCTGCATATTCAGATTTCTACAAGGAGAAAGGTATCAGTGTGCTTTGAGGAGAGAAGTTTTCTCAAGAAAAAAGATATTAAAAATGAAACATGGCAGGATATTTTTTAAATTGCACTCGTGCTACAAAAAGTGCCAATTCTGTGGAGAAAGTATTATTTTTTGTTGATTCATGGGACAAAGCCGTTGGGTTTCATCATCATTTTAACCTTTTTAAAAGCTTGTCGGTAACTATTTATATTGTCATTAGATGCACCAGGCCAAGTTCCCCAGAAAATCCCATTACGAACACCTTTGTAACTTTTGTGGTAATATTTGCCATTTAGATTAGCAGCCAAACATGCATCAAACCACCACCCAGAACTATAGTAAGCTCCACAGTTTCCTCCTTGATACCTGTCATTGTCTTTATCTGGGGTAGTAAAGAATTTTTGGTCATGGTTATAATATTTGTTGTAGTGCAAAGCATCCCCAGCTGTGCCACTGTAACTGCCAACACTTAGGCGGTATTTGAGATATTCATTAGCCACATAAAATTGATCATACTTTGCATATTCTCTCTTTCCGTTGAAATCTTCAAGCTCAATCCTCAACTGCATATCCTTGCTTTTGGTGAGAACATGAATTTTGTCATTCCCTAGCCAGAACTCTCTACTGAGGTTTCCAAATCCATTCTTGTATTCATTCCATGTCCTGTTGAAGTTGGTACTGCCATCCTGACGCATCTGGAACACTGTCCAGCCACCTCCCATAGATTCCATGTCACAGTAAACATCAAAGCTTTCACTTTTTGGATCAGGAATGATTCTGTAGATCCCATTGCGCCGTTTGCCTGATGCAAAATAATTGGCACAGTCTGCTTGCAGAAGCTGTATAACTGGATGGAGGGAGAAAAGACGGAGTTAGCACAATTTACAACCCATTTGAGCTTATCTAGTGCAATACAAAAGAAAGCAATTTGAATGGAATGCATATTTTAAGAAACAAGGTTTTTTATGCATTATGTATATGTATGTAGCATAAATGAAGCAGTTGCTCAATTGAGGGACTGCTTTCTTTCCTGTGTATTTAGAACATTATACTGCAATTTTTCAGTATTTGTGCAAGTCATTGCAGTAAAAGGAATTAGTTAGTGTAAAGTAACTCTAGAACCTGGATGTGCATCTGCTGAGGCTGGTGGAGTATGGCTGCAGGAAACTGGAGGACTTTTGAGAGCTTTTGCAACTAGTAGTAATTTGTTCCTTCCTCATGTTCTCTCTTGCTTTTTGTTAGCACCTTCTTTTTGGCTATTATCTGTTGTACATTTTACTGCTCCCCAGAGCTGAGGTTTTTGGCTGTTGTCATTCCAAGAACAGGTGGGCTACAAGGAAAGAAATGTGTGCTGTTTGTTCTCTATCAAACTAACTTGGTACCACAGAGATATGTAAGAGCTGATGATTGTTGCATTAAATGTTCACACTGGATTCCTATGTGAGGTGACTTCTTCTGTGTAGAGCTGCAAGAGAGCTGTCCACATGGGTTTTTCTGGATCATAATTGATATAATATACATTGTCAGTTTGCCCTAGGATCAAGTCTCCACTGGTCATCTGTGAAGGGTTGGGTTGTCTTCAGCATCAGCTGCTGTCCTCTTGTAGAAAGCATGAGCATTTTATTTTCAAGAGGTTTGACCTTAACTTGGCTATTTTTCCCTGTTGTTTTCTGGAATTCCAGAACATCAATATTTAACTATGCTGTTACAAACAATTATGCACAGTCAAATATGACACTCTGAAACATTTATGAGCATGACAAACATTTCCTGTAAGAGTGGTATTGCTCAACCTCTTGGTTTTGGAAATGGAAATGAGTCGGGGCAGTATGTTAAGCACCAACGCAACCCTTTATTTTTTACAAAAATATTCCTTCCAGGTGTTTCCTGAAGCTTATAGCACATTCAGTCTTCTTAGTAATAGCAATAGGCGCAAAAGCTTTACAGCTGACAACTTAGATTTTTTTCTGCATAAAATAGTTAACATTTATAGTTAACTATTAACATTTAATAGTTAACATAATATATTATAGAATGAGGGAATGAAATCTCTTTCAGTTATGTTGATTCTCATGGTAAATTAAAAGACTTCATCTTTGGTTGTCACCAACATTCTTTGGCTCCCACCGACAGAGTTGACATGTGTGTTGCTACATGGGCCCAAACTATTGGTGTGTGTGTTAATTAAGCATTAGTACTGACCTGCCAGTATTGATGCAGCATTTCATAAGGATGGGGAGAGACTCAAGTTTTCTTTAAGGAGGTACACTGATACTCTCAGCAGATGTGATTACTGTACCCGCCAACAATATGTACTGAACATATAATACTAATGCATCTAATGGATAATTTAATTATGGCATAATGTGATCCATTTGATGTATTGTCGCTTTCCAGATCTGCTGCACAGTGATGCCCCCACTGGAGCCATGGGGCTGAGGGAGGGTCCCCAAAGAACCCTTGGACAGGCTGCAGCAACTCTTCCTCATTTCAATTCGCTAGTAAAAAGAAATGCTGCAGCAGCCAGTCTGTGTCCCATTTTATACCAAAAGGGGCTTTCCTTCTTGGCTTTTGAGTAACAGCCAGCTGAACCTGTTAGAGATTTCACTTAGGGGTGGATATGGCCAGCACTGTTATTGTGAGGATAAGGTTAAGAGGAAGAAAATTATGTAGGCCTCCTTGAGTTCTTTAAAAGGAAAAACATTAAGATAATAAATAAAATAAATCATAGTGAGTTGACAAAAGGAGCACTAGCACACTTCAATGCTCAGTAAGAAGGAGAAAAAGTAAAAGGAGGATCAAGTGCATGTGGGTGGGAAAGCGCTTTGCTTGCTTTTCTTGGGCAATTAGGCTAAACTTTAAAAAGATGGATCAGGAAGCTTTGTTTATCGTGATAGCAGGTGAAAATCCTGCCTTTAAGCTCAATGAATTTGTGCTTTCAGATAGGTTGATGACTTCTGCTTAGTCTGGGTGCATCTAAGTGATAGGAGGGGTCTTAGCACTTTCCATGTGGATTGTGGTTGATATGCTGCGGAACATGGTGATTATATTTGTCACCCTTATATAACTTAGCTGTCATTCCTGTGAATTTTTCATACGTGTTCACAGCCATTGCAAATAACTGTAATATAAAAGGAACTCCTGATCTAGGGTATAGGTATAATTTAACTGAATACATTATTTTATTTGGGGTTATTTGGATTGGAAATCAATTTTCTGGCTTTAGTGTCTGTCAAATTTAAATAAATCCTTCTAATTCTTTTAAAAAATCCATGACCTTAATAAATGCTATGCAGATTTCTGTTTGTTGAGGCCATTTGCTAAATCTTTTTAGTATCTAGCAATATCCTGGGATGTGGCAAATAACTTTATTATTTGTGTAAGGTATGTTCATGACTGAAATTATAAAATATGTAATAAACATTGCATGTTAGGAATTTTTATTGAAGTTACATTTTCTAACCTGTGGGATAAAGGTTACTTAGGAATTTCTATTTTCTCCAGGATAAGTAGCTGTTCTAATTTATTTCCTAAAAAAAGATCTGTCTTGTGTTGTTCACATGCTACACAACCATTTTGGGCAGGGACCAGGGAGGAACTAGCCTCAAAACCTGTCTCCTTGAAATCAACTACAACCCCCAGGTTCACAACTGACATTAATAGCTATTGGAGTGCCTATTAGCAGCTGTCACAGAAGTGTGTTTCCGGCCGATGGTGTACAGGAAGGTTTTTTGTTAACTCTTGTACACATGCACAGCATGATCCCAATGGTGTCACCCATCCCTCAGAAGCTACTGTTCACCCAGAGAGGAAGCTTCTGTTGACATCAGTGCAAGCCACTCTCCCAAACTGAATAGACATTTAAGGGGCCTATTCCAACAGGTTTGAGGAAAAAGGTTATACCCTGTACGCCATTATTCCTACAGCGGCTTTCAAGTGTAAAGACTAGCCTCATTCAGTGCCATGACACAATTAACATCTTATATATTTTTACACTTGCAGTAAACATATTCTTTGAAATGGCTCATTGGGATGGCAATGCTGTGCCTAAGCTTCATTAAGCAATTAGGTATGCCAACATTGTCTTTTTCCAGGTGTCCTTTAGACTAAAAACTGGAGTTTACTAGCCTTTATAGTATTCTTTCACAATAGGCTGGTTTGTTTGAGTAGTTTTGGGTACAAAACCCTGTGGCTGCTAGACATACGAGACTCTTGTCACAGAATGGCCTCCCTCTGGCAGTCAGTGCAGTTCCTTCAGTACCAGCTGCAGCTCCAAAGCTTTAAGGGTGCAAGGAGAAACATTCCAGAGGTCAGGGAGGAAAAAAGTGAGGCTTCACAGAATGGCATGGGTGTTGGCAGTGCCTCAGCCCCCACTCCTCCCCAGATGGGGGACAAGACAGGTGGCAGAGATTGGCCACTGATGTGTTTTGCTGAGTAGAAGAAGCTTGGAGACTGTTCTTGCCTCCTGTCTTCTCCCATCCTCCACTGGATGTCCGTAATCCTCAGAATTTGGAGGGCTTTGGGCAGCCACACCAGACAGTGCCTTTGTTGCTTAATTTGTAGCTAGGCTACAATCTTCCTGTATGGCAATAATCAGAAACATCCAATGTATTTGAACTGTTCTTTGTTATTCTGACCTATTTAAAAAATATCAAGAAAATCTATTTCTTAAAACGATGCTTGAAAAGTTACATAAAAGCCACAATCGTGATAACCTTTTTCCTGGCAAGTCATTACTTGTAAAATTATTTGTGAGATGATATAGTTTTAAGTACAACTACTAAATAAACAAAACTTGAGGGAAATTGTAGCCAAAATCATATTGAATTTCCCAGTGTTTATGTATGAAATTTTGCCAAGAATCCACTCTCACCATATCATGCAGCATCCATTTGGTAAGTATTACTGCTGTTTAGATTTACATAAGCACAGCTGTAAAATATAATCATTTGTGTCATCCACTGGTAAGTATGCACTTACCTCTGTATTTCCAAAATTTTATAATGACCCTTTTCTTTCTAAACATGCGGAGGATTGACTCTTGGTTAAAATTCTTTGTTGAATCTTTGCACGTTTATGTGTTTTGAGCTTTCTGCTATGGAGCATGTGGTTTGAAGAGATGTAGAAAAGACAAAATAGAGATGAAATGTTTGGCAGGGCCAAATCCAAAAAGTTACTGACCCCAGTCAAGCTTTGACTGTTGACAAAATAGTTGTATATAACAAGTGGTGGAAACTGATGGGAACACACATCCCTGTATGCCTCAAAAGATGCATCCAGCCAATCATGCAGATAAACATTGCAATGGAGATGGTGATGTGTGTCCCTGCAAACTACATAACTAGATTTTTTCCACCCAGAAATGGGGTCAGCTTCATACAGGCTTTAACTTTCTTTTACTGAGCACAGGAAAAAAGAGAGCAATAATTTTTTTTCAGAGCTCAGTGGTAGAGCAGGTGCATTGCATGCAGAATACCAGACAGGGGTAGGAAAGGATCCTGCCTGAACCTCTGGGGAGTTGCTGGCAATTGGTGTCAACAATACTGGCCTAAATGAACTAGTGCTCTGACTCAATATAAGCTAGCTCCCTATGTCCCTGCATCTCTGTCCCATAACTGCTGCTGAATATCTACAATAGTAGAAATGTTAAAAATACTTTCTCATTAAAAGAAAATACTATAAGTAAAAGTTGATGGTGTCACTTTCTCATCCATGTCAAACACTTTCCATCTCAGCTGAATTAAAAGTCTTTTTAACAAAAAGAAAGATAAAGATCCTGGAGTTCATGTGACCAATTCACTATCATTGCAATCAATCCTATTTATCTGCTGTTTCCCACAGTATCTAAAGATTCCTTAGTTCCAAAATAATGTGGAACAATTAGCTTCTAGTGTATTCCCTTTTATATAAGTGGGAAGAAACTTGTTTGTGATATGCTTAAATTACTTAGTACCATTAAAACACTTTATTTGTAAAATAGCAAAGGCTGACCTACCTGGATTTGGTTGTGTGGCTGCACATTTTGAAGAGCATTTATTATCCAAATGATTCAGAGCAAATGTCAGGTTGGCTACTTTGTCATCAATGTAAGTTTCCACGTTGTTCATGTTCAGGAGGTTCATTTGCTCCAGCTGCCCCTGCAAAGAATGGATCTGGCTCTTTGCATTCTTCAGACTGGCTGACAGCCTGGAAACCTTGTTTTGCAGTTCTTTTACTCGGTTATCTTGTATGTCTGTTAGACTGTCTGTGCCGGGTGGCAGGAATTCATTGCTGTCCTTTTCTTGATTGTCATCTGCCTGCAGCCTGCAGTCTTGGCAGGACTTCTTCAAGTTGTTTACAGCTTCCTTAAGGTTCTGCGCTTCTTTGAGGGTTTTCTCAATCAGTTGAAACTGCTTGGGTAGCTGGATGGTCATCTGTGGCATGGTGATCTGATATGGGCATTCCTCTTCATCACATTTCCCACTGGTTTTTAGCTTTATAGGACAAGCATCACTTAGCTTTCTTTCTCTGACCCCTTCTGTGCCATCTTCTGTCTCAGCAGATCCATTTGCAAAAAGCAGCACAGCTGTCTTGAACAAAACCATGTAAAGGAGCTTCATCTTTTCTGTGAAACTAGCCCAGAGAGGAACTATGCAGAGCTTCAGCAACTTTTATAAAGGGCAGCTAGCTGCTGCCTGTGAGTTATCAGAGATTGCGTGCACTGTTCTTAGAAAAGGGTGGGAGTGTCTTGTATCACAACAAGCTGCAGAGACTTTTTATAGCAGAGGTAGTTCTAGGGGAATTGCCAGACTTTAAGCATGAATATTTCATGACTTTCAGCATAAGCAAAAAAAAAAAAAAAAAGTCTATAGATGCATAAACTCTGATAATATGCTTCAGAAAAAAACTGGTTGCACTTACTTTGCAAATGTTTTCATTTGAAAATCAAAACAGAAAATGTTTGTTTTTGGTGTTCATGCATAAACAGCTAACTGGGTAGACCTGAGCCAGTGAGCCAGTTGGCAATAAGTCATGGTGAGTTGCTGACATAACAATCAACCACAGGGAGTCCAACAGACAATCAGGTTCACCATGGGTCCCTCCAAGGTTTCACTCCTGCACTTTGAAAAGATTCTCAGTAGGTGTCAGAAATGGTGAAAGCTGGCTGTCAAGCTGGCTTTGGCAATCTCTGAAAGGGAAAAAAAGGTCAAGGAAAAAAGTCATGGGGAGCCCAAAATGGCTTGCAATCACAGCAGATTGCCTGAACGTTGGGGGTGGGGGGAGCTGTCACTGGTGCCCACCTGGGAGCCACTTAGCAGAAGCAGTGAAGTTTTCTCACGGTCTTGCCAAGGAGCTCAGTAGTTAAGTGCCTGTACCCACAATAGGTAAGTTGCTGTACCCACAATTGACAGAAGCCTTCATAGTACAACAACCTAAACCAATGGGTTGTTGAGGTGGCTTATTGTCTACGAACAAGTCACCCTGGGAAAATGAGACAACCATTGTTTTCTGTGTAGCTTTGGGGTTTTGTGGGAGGTCATCAGATTTCTTAATGAGAAGAGTTATAATGGCAGGTAGACTTTTCTGAATGATAGCTTGTACGTTGACGTTGTCTTATGCCACAATTGTCACAGGAGTGGTTGGTGTATTCTGTGATTACTCTGAGTTCATGTGAGATGAGTAATACTAAAGAAGGCTATAGATAATACTCCTCATGAACCTAGTGTTATACTTTGAACCCCCCCCCCACACACACACACACATTTTTTGCAATGAATGTGCATTCCATGAGAGGTTACTTAGCCGAAGAATAGATGTAGAAAGGGTTTCATGAAAGGAACAGGATAAGAACCACCTGATCATACTTTCACCATATATTTAATGTGATAGGTACTGTTTGAAGTAACTTTAGAAGTTATCAAATCCTCTCCCCCACTGCCCCGTGGTACCATCTTCCCCTAACAATTCCTCAGCAGTCATTGCCATAAGCTAAGCACCTTTTCTTGCATTCCTTAGGCTGTGTTGGTTTGGGGTCAAGAAGAAATCTCAGGGGCTCATGAACTTAGAGCTTTCTAGATCACACCAAAAACCAGTCTTGTTCTGCATCCTGTTCTCAGAGAATTCCTGCCTATAGAGAATTCACAAGAAGGACAGGAGGGTAGTAGCTAATGTTGTTCCATGTAGTGATATTCTGATCCTAAAAGTAGCATATAGTGAAAGGATAAAGCTTTTGATTCTCATTGGGCATCATCCCAGCCAGTCATTGGCTTCCTGCACACAGGCCACACCAGAGGCCTGAAACCATACTCCACCAGAGTATATCTGACAGTGATCTCTTCTTTTCATGAGAAAGTCAACAGTTTTTTCTTTTTTTCACATTCTCTGTCCATCAGTTCCTTAGAGGTCTGCACAACCTGATCCCACCCATCCTTTCTTGCACATCAACCCACTGTTCCTCATTTTCCATAAGGATAAGGCCGTTCTGCAATCTGATCACATGTTTCTCCCACCAGAATGCATTAGCTAGGAAAGTCTTCCCAACAGCAGGCCCCACACAGGTGCAAAGCCCACATGTGTGAATGCATAGATGACCATTCAAAGAACGTCAGTTACTGATAAGCAACCTTACTTTCCTGAGACAGCACAAATTATTATTACCTTGTGGTTCACGGGGGTGAAATGTTAATTCTCATCAGAAGGTAGATAATCTTTCTCCTACCACTGACTAATTCAGACTGAAAATCTCCATTTTTAGATTGGTTCTATCAAAACTGCAGACTACATGGCCATAATACTTGGCCAGATTTTGGACTTGGTTTCCCAAGCTGCAGTTTTTTGTACTACTTAGTCTGATTAAAAGTTGTGGAGAACTTGAAAGCTTGCACAGTCTTGTTTAAATTGGGTGGGTCATGAACATATTGACTGAATGCTGATTTTCATTTTTTTCTCATCAGTTATTTTGTTGTTTATTTTACATATGCAAAATTTGCAAGCACACACCAAATTTGCAGTTCTAGGTTAGCAGGGAATACAATGTAGCTGCACCCTAAAGTGGAGAACCTACATTGAGCAGGAGTGTGGATTAGATGATCTCTGATAAGGAAAATGATGCCATAAAATATTTTGTATTACATTCTTAAGGCTCCTAGTTTGTATTTGTGCATCTGTTTTCCCCCGTCTTGTTCTTAATGTCTTCTATGTCCTTTGCTTTAGATAAAGTTTAGTTGGAGTTCATGATGGCTCTTGTGTAAAGCGTAACAATTTATTACTGTCAAAATCCTAGGATTTTCCACCATTCATATAGCCTTCTATATGTCATGGAAAAGTACTCCTAAGAAAAAGGCATGTGCATACAAACAAAGAAAATGCACAAGTGTGATGTAGCAGTGCGTAATGGTGAGCAGTTTGCAGTGACACACCATTGTGCAATGCCCCTAGCCCTGAAAAAATTCTGAGAATGCTCACGCTTACTGTTTGGCAAGAACCCAGCTATTGCACACTTTGAAAATACAGTGGTAACTGCTTCCTCAAAGGGCTACATGTTCCTAAAAGGGCCAAAGTTAGCTTGAAAACAAGCTGAATTTGACTATTGGGTAATCCAAAGTACTAAGGACACGATTCCCCCTACTGATTTTCACTTTACTTGGCAGACTGAGACAAGTCCAGTGGCAAATATAGCTCTTAAATCTCCAAAGGTTGACCAGCCCTGTTTTTGAGGATACAGAACTAATAAAAGGAAAAACTTCACACAATACCTAGTTAAACTATGGAATTCACTAGCACAGGGTGTAGTGACGACCACCAACTTAGATTACTTTAAAAAGGGATTGAACAAATTCATGAAGGTTAAGGCTATCAGTGATTAGCAATCATGATAACTATATATTAGGATGCCTCTGAATACCAGATGTTGAAAGGACACAAGCCAAATAGTGTTACTGCATTTACGTAAACAGAACACTAGACTAGTTAGGCCTTTATTCTAATCCAGTATGGCTTTTCTTATAATTTCTTCCTACTGTATCATCATCATTGTGCTTCATTCTAATATGAAGCAGTATCTATCTATCTATCTATCTAGAACACGGCATCCTAACATTTAGCTAATAATAAAACCTCAATTAAAACAATCAGGTCTTAAAACATTGGGAAAATAAAAAGGTTTTGGCCTTGTGACGAAAAGAATAAAGTCACGGTGCCAGGCAAACAAGTCTGGGGAGCAAATTCCACAATTGGAGTACCACTGCAGAGAAGGCCCTTCTCCGGGTAGTCACCCTCCTAATCTCCTTCAGGGAACAATAGATGCTGGGAACAATAGACGGCAAAAGAAGAAGGGGATGGCAGAGAATGAGGTGGCTAGATGGAGTCACTGAAGCAGTTGGTGTGAGCTTAAGTGGACTCCGGGGGATGGTGGAGGACAGGAAGGCCTGGAGGAATGTTGTCCATGGGGTCGTGATGGGTCGGACACGACTTCGCAATTATTAACAACAACAACAACAACAAAAGAAATTTGGAGAGCCAGTCATAGATTTCTCCTATCATGTGTAGCTGACCCTAATAAGTAACTGTTTTTCTGAACCTGCTATGCAATTTGCAGCATCTAGTCATCAAATGGTATATTAGTGTTTCTGAAAAGTACTGTAATCACAGATATATAAGCAGATAATGACATGTGTGGAATATTGGGATTTTAAAACCAACATACTCACCAGCACCACCAATCTATATCTTAGGAGTGAAGAGCAAACTCAAATTCTTGAGTACTGCATGTGTTCTAGTTTTCGATGAGAATTCTTCCCATTTTTGACATGTATGGGATGTATGGGAAATTTGATTTGATAAGCCATATTGTTTTATGGGAACCATGTCTTTAGGCGCATAGAACTGTCTCCATCCATATAAACCCACCTGGACCCTAAGATCCTGCTTCAAGAGCTGCCTTTAAAGGAAGCTAGGAAGGTGGCTATCCAGGGTAGGGCCTTTTCAGTTGTGACACCCATCTTTGAAACAGCTCAGATGTGCACCAGGTGCCTTCTTTGTATGCATGTTGGTGCCAGACTAAAACTTTTTATTCTCTGAGTATTTTAATTTTAATAGTTTTAACTTACACTTAATTTTTAGGGTTTTTTAATTAGTGCATTTTAAAATTTTAATTGTTATTTTTAAGATGTGTCCAAACTGTTAATGTATGTTGTCAAGATGGTTGGTACTCCTGCTGTGCAATAGATGTTTTACTGGTGTTGATGTTTTATTATTGAATTGGTCATTATGTTGTTTTATGTTGCGTTGATTGTTTTATTGTGCAAACCATCCAGAGAGCCATGTGGCTATAGCGACGGTATACAAAAGCATTAACTAAATAAATAAATAAATAAATAAATGTGTTATTGGTTATTTTTGCCTTATTCCTTAACAGATGTCATGGAAAGAAGTTCCACAAATGTGAGAACAGCTTCTCTCACAGGTTTCTGTAGCTGGAGTTGAACTGCTATAGACTTGAAATTTTATATTTCAAAGTACTAGCTGGACTTTTTTGATCAATGATTAAAATGTTACCTCATAATTTATAATGTTTGTATATGTGGCCATGAATTTACAAATTCTCATTTAAAATTAACATGGGATTTGCTCAGATTTGAATAGACTGAGAAATTTCTTTGATAACTACCTGTAGAGTATAAGTTCTGAAAGAAGTCACATGTGGCATTACTAACTCACAATCATTTCTGTGCCCATTTTGTAGTTGTTTTATGCTGGAAGCATCCCTGGAACCAGAGTGGCTCAACTGAAGGCGAAGTATAACACTCTTCATGAAACTTTAGTAAGGTAGGCCATTAGACTTCCTTGTATGACACATGAATACTTATTTCAGAGATAACTAAAAAGATTGATTATGGGTGAATCCCAGTGCTTCCATCAGATGCACATACACTTTTGAACTTGGAGGCTTATGTGCATCCAGTTGATGGACTGAACTATAGTGAAGACAAGCTTTGCTGCTGCTGTGCCTCGGGCTGATATGTTATCTAGATAGCCATTTTCAGGCATCTAGTTCAGGGGTCCTCAAACTTTTTCTAAAGGAGGCCAGTTGACAGGCATCAGCAGTGGGCGCGGGCCGCCAAGGCGGTGCCAGTGGGGGGGCATGGGCTGGTGAGGGGGTGGGGTGCATGCAAGGCAGAGACAGGGGGGCGCACAGGCCAAGGCTCCGGCTTGCTCACAAGGAGATCGTTTTCTCCGAGCTAGTCCAAAACAACCTCCTCACAAGCAAGCCACGTGCCTGGCGAGTGCAAAATCTGTGGGGCGGGCCGGTTAAATGGGCATGGCGAGCTGGATCTGGCCCACAGGCCTTAGTTTGAGGACCCATGATCTAGATCGTGAGTCCTCAAACTACGGCCCGCAGGCTGGTTCTGGCCCTCCATGTCCATTTATCTGGGCCACCCCACAGATTTTGGACTCGCCACGCCTGCACCCGCACCTGCGCCCACCACCGCCCGCCTTGCCATGCGCACTGGGGCAGCGGCTTGCTCACACGGAGATTGTTTTGGACTCGCTCAAAAAAAATAATCTCCGTGTGAGCAAGCCGCTGCCTTGCAGTGTGCGCCCGCTGCTGCCTCGCCGCACACACCTGCCCCTGCCTCACCTCGCCTTGCTGTGTGTGCATGCGCATGTGCCCCACTCCCGCCCCCTCACCAGTCTGCGCCCCCCGCCAGCACCTTTCAACTGGCAGACCCCTGATCTAGATGAAGCTAGGGAGAAAAAAAGACTAGAATCAGCTTAAGACGTTGCCCAGCCTCCTCTTTTCCCTGCCCCTGGCATGCACTTTCTGCCTCTCCAAGAATGCCTCTCCTGCATCCTTTGAGTGTTATTTCTGTGCTGCCTGTAAGAGATGAGGATTTGGCCTTTGGAGTCCCCACTCTGACATTGTGGAACCTCAGTGTTGGGGTCTGAATAATCCTATATCCCTGCAGTCAAAATTAGGAGGTTGTGGGATTGTGCCCTACCTATTTGGGCTGAATACAATGAAAGCTATTTTTGAAACATGTTGAGAACAATAATTCTGATTAAAAGGTAGAAGAGCAATGTAGACAAATACATCATAGATTTCTATAACCTTAGAAGGGAGCATTCATATAAACTATATACCATCTATTTGTGGTTCCTAACATGATTTCTTTTACTCCAGTTTACAGGAATCAGAGATTCAGCTGTTACAGGATGCCAAGCGTTTCACTGCTGTAATAGAGCAGCAGCAGCAAGAACTAGAAAAAGCTGAACAGTTTCCAGAGGGATCCACTTCAGAGTTGTCTAAACTAAGACAGCAGTACCTGAGATACATTAATGAATATAATGCAATTCAAGATCGAGAGTTTGAAATACAGTACAAATTAAATAGGTAGATAATAATTAGAAATGTAGAAACAGAGTGAGTCAGAAGGGGCCTCCTGGGCCATCTAGTCTCACCCCTGGCTCCAGCCCGCTCCACTCATGACATGCCATCAAATCATTATCTTTATTACAAACTAGATAGTGTGTCCTCCAAGACACACATTTTCACAATAGGTGCTTCTGTAAGTTCACAGGAGCCTGGCTCCTACTTTCTTATAAGGAGGACGGTAGGAACCCACTAACTTTACACTAAGAATGTGCTTTGGATTTAACCAGAATCTTTACAAAATTTGGACTAATTCAGAAAGATGTAGGAGTTGTCCAGATGACAGTAGAGCTCCTCCAGAGCAGAACAGATCAGAATCTCAACACACTTAAAGATTCGTGGATTCAGAGGGTCACAAACAGCATGTCTTAAAACATTTTTACGTATCTGCCAGTGTACACTGCTGTTCCTATCCTAATGCGATCCTAACTTTATATACAGTTGAATGTTGCTATTCTTGGTTATATCTTATGTGTATATCACTATCAGACATTCTGCACTGATGGTATTGTGTGTGTACTTGCAGTCTTATCAATAGATGGGTTGCCTTTGTTAGGCGGCAGCATTCCTAATCTTCAGTTTCTGATGTTCACAGTGATATAACACTAAAGTTCACTAGTCATTTTTGGGAAATGACTCCTTTAATTTTAGTTTTTGTGTGGGTCGGTGTATCACAATGAAATATAGGTGTGTCAGGTTAATTCAGAACTGGCTTTCCTGCTATGATCTTTTTCATCAATTTGGTGGCAGAGTGCCCTTCTAAATGATGTATGGATGTTTGTGGAAAGGTGACTTGTATATTTAAGTATTTATAAGATACATGCCTTCAGAATACTTGCTACTTAAGCATCTTATTGAGATCATAAACTGAATTTTCTTTTAAATTATTTCTAGTTTACTAGAAGATAAGAATCTTCTTGAAAAAGAGTATCACAGAATCCCCAAAGCTTCTGTAAGTAAGATGTTCTGAGATGTATATCTATAAAAGATAAACCGATTGTTTCTTCAGCATGTTAAAACCAAGATTTCCTACCTTTCACTGCACTTTGTAGAAGACAATTAAGACTGCAGTCAGATACGTCTCTGGGAGTAAATCCCATTAATGCTCATGGGACTTATATCTGAATAGGCATGCATGGACTTATGCTGTAAATCTCGATGGAAAAAGTGTCTTGTGAAACAATCCTATAGTAATTTCATCAGTTCTCTTCATTTGTCACTGTTAAATATGTTATGGTAAAGTAAACACATTATTCAACTTTCATAAATCTCATATATTATTCCAGAAAAAATGCAGTTCTTTCAACAGCGGCAGCCACAGGCTTCTTTGTTTTTACATTTCTGAAGGAGTGGCTTGCAAGAGTCCTGCTGTATCGGCCTCTCCTGCTACTTCATACCTCTAGCTTCTCGGTCCCATGTCATTCCTCTTCGCTTATACTCCTCACTAGTCAGACCTCATCTGGAATATTGTGTCCAGTTCTGAGCACCAAGATTTAAGAAAGATGCTGAAAAATTAGGAATGGTCCAGAGGAAGGGAACAAAAATGATGGAGGACTTGTAATTACTGCCCTATGAGGAGAGACTGAGAGAACTGGACATGTTGAAGATGGAGGGGGAACATGATATCACTCTATAAGTACCTCAGAGGCTTCTCACTGATACCAGGGTGTAGAAAACAGAATAATCAATTCGAGTTGCAACAACCCAGATTCAGGCTAGATACCGGGAAGAGTGTCTTCACTGTCTGAGCAATATGAAATCAGTTGCCTGGAGAGGTGGTGGGCTCTCCCACTCTAGAAACATTCAAAAATAAACTGGACAGTCATCTGGGTGGGATGGTGTAAATTGGTGTCCTGCAACATTAGGGGATTGGATCTGATGGCCTTCTTGGCCTGTTCCAATTTAACAAGCAGCAGTTCCAATTGTGTGAATTGACAGCATACTGAAGAGCTACCTGGGCCATAGAATCAAATGTCAAATAACCTGTATGCCTATAGAACAATTCTTGTAATATACTTGCCAAAATGACACTATTTGAACATTGATCTAGTTAGCAGAATACCAACACAAGCATGAGATAACTGTACTTTTTTTTAAGGAAGCAGAGAAGAAAATGAAAGCTTTGAGAGAAAGCTGTGAAGAGATTCGCAGAGAAACAACACATCGGAGGCAAGAAATTAGAGCACTGAAAGAAGATCTGTCATCAAGGCAAAAACATCTCACTAAGGATCAGAAAGAACTTGATGAACTCTTTCGGAAGCAAGAAGAAATAAAAGTAACAAAGGGCTAAATGCCTAAGTCTCTGTTCCCATGCACCTGTTTAAAGGGTTATTTCCCATGTCTATTGTTCCTTATTCATTTGGCATGTGTGTATACAGAAACCAGAAAGAGCTGTTTTCCATGGACTTTTTCAGTACATTTCTCTCTGGTTGCCTTCAGTCATTAGAGTGAGGCAACCTGAATGCTAATTCTGTTGTATTTCATAAAACATAACACTATATAGACTAATATTGATATTTTTATCACTAGGATGAGCTAGTCCGTCTCCAAGCCATTCCTATTCAGCTCGGAAAGGATATGGAGAAATTAAACCGCAGAATCCAGTACGTTTTTTCTTGCTCTCTGTTTGACAAGTGTGATGCTTATCCTTAGCAGTCAAGTGCATGGTCCAGTTAAGCCAACTGCCATGTGCTTGAATGCAGTTCTTGAACTCAAGCCAACTCAGATACTTAACATAGGATAGGCTGAAGTTCCCCTTGCTGTGATAAGGAAGCAGGTGAGCATATTATCTTCCATCACACTTGTAATATAACATGTTATGTGATGTTCTCCACAGGTATTTGCATTCAGGTGCTGGTTCTTGTTTCCATGCAAAGGTGTTTTTAGTTTTTGTGAAGGGGGTTTCTCTGAGGTTGGTGGTAAAAAACTTCAAACTATGTTTTAAAAGGGACTTGGGAATCAGAAGTGCTCCAGAACATAATTAGAATTATTTTTAAAATTTGTCTTCGTTGCTTACTGCCGTTATGTTTTCCATCTTTTCTTTAAAGGCCATCAAAGCTAATATGCCGTACTCCTCGGCTCCTGAGGTTGACAAAAATACATCTGGTGCCTATATAGCCTAATACTGACACACAGCCATTTATACATACTTTGTTAACTACTATAGCAAGCCTTTTTATCATGAGGGTTAACATCTGCGGTGGTGGTAATGCAGCAGGGAGACCATTTGTACCCATGCCAAAAGGCTACGTCATCTGATACAATGACAATCCAACAGAGAACAGTGGAAACCTGGGAAGGAAAGTTTCCTCATGACTGGATGTTCTGGAATCTCAATAAAACACAGTAACTTGATTGAGAAGCAAAGGTCATGCTCCTATGATGCAAAGTTCTTTCCAATATGCAAGAGATTTAAGGCTAATCGTAAGGCTAATCGTATTGCTATGCACTCTGCACTTTCCCACACTGATGAGAGATTCCAGAGGCAGCACTACCTGCTTTTGCTACTTTTGGATGAGAAAGTGCTAATGATTTAAGGCATCTTTGTAATATTTCCTGTATTTGTAAAGGGAATACAGTTCTACTGCAGAACATCCCAGAACAATGTGGACTGCTCTCAAGGGTACATATCCAATTTTGGCTAACCCTCTGTTCTTTTTCATGGCGAAGTTCCTCTTACATAATCACCTAGCAGACCCTTGAGATCTGCCACACCCTTACCTTTTCCATTCAGAAAACATTCACAACTCTTAAGAAACAAATTATTTTGCCACAACCATCAGCACTTCTTCACAGTGAGCAAACCAGTCAATTTACAACAGTATTGTTTTTTTTACCATTCTTGTCCCAAAGTGTGGCTTTTATAAGGGGACATTCTTACCGCTTTGTAGGCAGGGGTGAAGCTCCCAAGCACTTCTGTACCTGCAGGATTTTTCCTGTAGCCTGAAGTAAGGTTAGAGGCTAATATTGTACCCAAATTATCTATCGATCTGTAATGTAGAAGTATTACTGAACATACCAACTTTTTGTGTGTTCTGAGGTGAAGGAGCTGGGTCCTTTTATTCTCTATTTATTTGAAACGTGTTTTCTTTAAATTTCACCCTCCCCATCCACTGTACTTAGTGCTCATTTTCCTAGGAAACAAATGATTAGATTCAAAGCACATTGAATCTGAGATGGAAAATATAAGTCTGCTAAGATCTTTGTTGTGGAATCTTCCCCACTTTACTTTCGAATATATGAGCCACAGATGAGGTGCTACCTGGTTGCAGCATCGGGACGTGCAGTAAACCTTGTGGAGCAGGGGCTGCAGTGCAGCCTTGCATGACTTTCTTTTGATACTGTGGTTTTGAAATGGGCAGCTGGGTCTAATTCCAAATTTTCAGTTGGGTTTTTCTAAGAATACAGAAGGCAAATAAAATTACACAGGAAGTGAACAATGTGGGCTTTTTTATTCATACCAAAATCTACCACTGTCCACAGTGAGTTAGAGAAGAAGAAAAAAACTGCGCAGGAAGGAATGCAAGAAGTACTTGAGACTGTTAGAAAACTAGAGGCTAAATCTGAAGAGTTAATGGAGGAAAAGGAAGATGTAATGAAGGAAGTGGATGGAAAAAAGGCCTTGCTGGAGAGTAAAGAACGAGAATTCATCACTTTTACAAAGATGCATGAGATGAACAAAGAAAATGAAGGAAGTGGCATAGCAGAAAGGTGCGTTTTGTATACCTGGGCTATATTTATTGATTTATTATTAAACATTTGTATCCTACCTTTCCATTAGAAAGCCCTCAAGGAGGTTTGTAAGATAACATTTGAAAAGAACCATCCTTTCTTGAAAGGACACATTTTAATTGATTGTTGAAAAGCAAGCTGTAAGAAGGAACATCGTACAGACTACATCAGGGTGGGCAACTTCTAGTCCTTGTTGTTTTGATGTTTTGATTTACAACTCCCATCAGCCCTAGCCAACATAATCATAAGAAGGCAAGATGGGCCTCCATGGGCAGGAAGTTTTAGATTCTGCATGAAGCAATGGAAAATCCCTTCTTGTTACAAATAAACAGTTGTTTGGAAACAGTCAGGAGGATCTCTCTTGAGTGCTTTTAGTGCCCATTAAGATCATAGGCAAAGGCTGCTCTTAAAAACATTTGGGGCAGAAGTGAGAAACTGCAGCCACATTATTTCCCTGGAATTGCTCTGTGGCCCAGATGACCTCAGACAGTGGGGGTTTGCTTCTGATGATGTCAGGTCCCTGGCTAAAGCTTCAGCCAGGGCTCTTTCAAGAGGTACATCAGTCAAGGAGCTGGTCACACTTGTCCTCCACCTTCTCTCCATGGGAAAGGTGCAGGATGAGCAGTGAGTGTTCAGCTGGTGCTTTCAGGGGGTGCCTGACCCCAATGCATGTGAGCGGCTTCAGTAGCTCAGTCAGAGCTTATTCTCACAGCAAATGTCTGTGAGAAGGCTGGGGGCTTATACGCGTAGAAAGGCTGTCTCTGAAGCTGGATCTGTGTCTCTGTTGACAGTGCAGCTTCTCTTCTGAAACAAATAATATGCAAAATAATTTTCTGTAGGCTAGATAAGGCAAAGAGCCATGGTATGAGGTTAGGGAGTTGGAACTCAGGATCAGAGGTGTTCTCTGAGACTTCCGGCCAGATGTCTTTACAGTAGGCCTGCTCAGCTTTCCATTCTGTGGGAATGGGGTTGCTGAGGAATCCAAGTCCTCCTTTGAAGACGTTTCACCTGGGCTTGGCCAGTGGCCTCACAGCAGTGCAGGCAAAGGACAGGCAGAATGTTCTTGGCTGGCTGAGTCTGTGCAGGAAAGATGAATAATACTTTGCGGACACTTCCGGGTGCCAAGTGAGCCCTGACCTTGGGATTCTGCCAGTTCCTCTAAGCCCTAGCTTAGAATTAATGGGGTACTCAATTGGTTTCCCAGCCGTCTCCCTTTTGAGAGATGCTAGGCAAGGGGGCCTGCCTGTGTCCCTCTAGGCAGATTAGGCTGTTCCATGGACTGGAGGTTCTCTCTTCTCCACTGGCTCTTAGGTTAGACTGAGAGTAAGTTACTGGCCCAAAGTCACCAAGTAAGTTTCATGGCTGAGTCAGGGCTAGATCTCCCGAGCCCCACTCTAGATCCACTACACCATACTAGCTTTCTTTTTCTTGTCTAAAACACACACAGGATTTTGCCTTTAATCTCAGTATGACAAAATTCTTTTTTTGTTGCTATACATGTTACAGATGCCTCTATGAACACTAGTACAGTAACTGTTTTTGAAGATGGTATTCTTTAGTTGCCACATAAATATTTTGATTGCTGCCCAGCAAAGTTTTTCTTCCTGATTACCTTGCTTATTTGAATGTATTTATTGCTATAATTTATATTCCACCCAAACGTAGGCACCTGGACAGTTTTGTGATGTGGTGGCACTTGGCCTGCAGATGTCCTCTGCAGGGTGCTCAGTTGCAGTGTCCTGTGACTTGGTCTTTTGTTTAAGCAGAGGCCTCTTGGACCTGAATAACATGAAGTCAGTATTGCCTGGCTGAGCGGGTCACTCCAGGCTGACTGTAACAAATACAGTAACAAAACACGTCACACTGCTAGAAAAAAACAGGGCCGATGTGATTGTTCTTTGTTTATTCCTCTTCCATGCCCAGGATTTCTTTTCTTTTATACAACTCTTCTCTGCACTTATCTAGGGGTATTTTAGAAATGGGTTTCCGCAACTGTGCTGTGGCAAAGCAAAAACTGCACGATACTCTGAGTCGAATGCAGAGAGAGAGAGACCGAGACTTCAGAAACTTTAAAAAGATGGAGATGCAATTAAAAATAGCTCAGGAGAGCTTGGAGCAAGTTAGAGCACATTACCAGAGAATTCAATTAGAGGTCTGTATGAAGATACTTGATTGGTGATGTTTCTGGGAAAAGGCAGGGCTGGGAAAGGGGAAAGAGGCATAGCCATCTAGGCAACCCTGGGGGGCCCTATTCACCCTGCAGGCCTGAGATTCAACACAACTGATTTTACCTAAAGTGACTTAAAAATGGTAGGTTGTGTCAATGCATTACTCTCACAGATCATTTTTTAAAAAATATAATTGGATGATGATGATGGCGTTGGCCAGGGTGGCGTGGTGTTTTTCCCACAGTGAGTGTTGGACTGGGCATCCAGGAGCTCGCTGGGAGACTCTGGGCCAGTCACTCACTCTCAGACTACTCTTCCTCAGAGTGGAGAATTATGTAAGCCAACTTGGGTTCCTTGCAAGAGGAAAAAAGTAGGATGTAAATATAATGTAGTAATAACAATAGCCAAAGCTCCCTGGGCTGTTGACAAAATTACAAATTATAAAATACAAACTAATCATAGAATAGTAGAGTTGAAAGGGGCCATCAGGTGCAACCCCCCACTCAGTGCAGGAGTTCAAGTTAAACCATCCCTCCCAGGAGGCTGTCCAGTTGCAGCTTGATTGCCTCTAGTGTGGGAGAGCCCACAACCTCCCTAGCTAATTGGTTCCATTGTTGTACTACTTTTTCCTGATATGAAGCTGAAATCTGACTTCCAGAAACTTGAGCCCATTATTCTGTGACCTGCACTCTGGAATGGTTGAGAAGAGATCTTGTCCTTCCTCTTTGTGACAGCCTTTCGGGTACTTGTATAGTGCTGTCATTATCTCTGCTCAGTTTTCCCAAGAGTAAACATGCCCAGTTCTTCCAATCTCTCCTCACAGGGCTTTGTTTCCAGTCCTTGGATCATCCTTGTTGCCCTTTCCAGCTTGCCTTTGTCTTTCTTCAACTGTGGTTCCCAGAACTGGACACAATACTCCGGATAGGGCCTAACCAGTGCTGAGTAAAGGGCAACCTGTACTTTACGAGATTTGGAAGTGACACTTCCATTAATGCAGCATTTGCCCTTTTTGCAGCCACATAACATTGTTGACTCATATTCAGCTTGTGATCTACAAACTATTGCAAGATCCTTCTCACTTGTAGTATTGTTGGCACAAATCTCTTGTAACTATGCATGTGGTTTCTTTTTCTTAGGTGCAGAATTTGGCATTTGACCCTGTTTAATGTCATTCTGTTGTTTTCAGCCCAGTGCTCCAGCCTATCAGGATCACCTTAAATCTTGTTTCTGTCTTCCAGGTTTTTAGTTATTCCACCCAGTCTTGTGGCATCTGCTGATCTGATATTTGTTCCTTACTAATAAAACATAATAAAATTTTAATATACAACATTCAACACATTTCAAACAGCTAAGCAATTTCAATAAAACACTAGAGCTGATACAGACTGCTGACGTATATAGGATTTCAGTAAAGGTGTTAAAGAAGTCACATGCCTTCTCTTCCAAACCAACACTCCTTTTAGATTTGAGTTCCTCCTCATCTGCCTTACTTTACTAGCAGTGGTTGGGTTCCTTTGATTTTCTGCTGCACTATTGCAGTGTAATATTATCAGTTATTTGGAGTGGTATATTGTTAAGACATTCTTCGTGCTTCTATAAAGTCCTATGCTCAATGCTCTTCAAAGGTTTGCCATGCTGGATGCCTGCTTCACAAATGTGCCTTTCCCTTTCCCATAAATGAGTTACTCTTTTCCATAAATGAGTATTTCTCTTTCCCATATAGTTTCCAAATGCTGCCCTACAACATGAAATGCTACAGCATGTGTTCCCTTGTGGGAAGTGTATGAATAAGCAAAGAATCAGGAAACTGAAATGGACGGAAATACATCTCCCCTACGTGATACTCATTTCAGCCAGTGATTTCGTGTCAGCAGAGTAACAAATGCTGAATTTCCTTGTGAAACTGCTTACTCTACAGTTATATCCTTTTATATGTAAGCATTTTCAAATTCAAGAGATTTGTGAGTAACGCTACTTGGGGTACAATTGCTACAATTGAGCCAAAAATCCAATAATGTCCTTGTGGAAGAGCAGAGAAGAACACTTTCCTGCTTGTTGAAAGAAAATAATAGAATCACAGAATACTAGAGTTGGAAGGGGACCATAAGGCCATTGAGTCCAATCTCCAGCTCAATGCAAGACTCCAAGGTAAAGCATTCCTGACAGATGGCTGTCCAACTGCCCTCTGGAATGCCTCCAGTGTGGGAGAGCCCATGGCCTCCCTAGGGAATTGGTTGCATTGCTGTAGTGCGCTAAGTCAGGAAGTTCTTCCTGATGTCCAGCTGGAATCTAGCTTCCTGTAACTTGAGTTCATTATTCCATGTACTGCACTTGGGTTTGATGAAGAAGACAGATAAGTGGCCCTCCTCAGTGTGGCAGCCTTTCCAATATTTGAAAAATTCTATTAAATCTCCCCTCAGTCTTCTCTTCTCCAGGATACACACCCAGTTTTTTTCAATCTCTCATAGGGTCTCCAGTTCCCTGATTATCTTTGTTGCCCTCCTATTTCCAGTCTGTCTGCATCCTTCTTGAAATGTGATGCCCAGAACTGGGCACAGTACTCAAGATGGGGGTCTAACTCATGCCAAACAGAGAGGAATTGAAATTCCTCTCAATTTCAATTGTGATGTGGAAGCTATACTTCCATTAATGAAGCCCAAAATAGCATTTGCTTGTTTTGCAACTGCATCACATTATTGGTTCATATTCAGCTTCTGATTTCTAGTAATTCCAAGATCCTTCTCACTTGTAGTAATGCTGAGCCAACTATTCCCCATCTTGTAACTCTGCATGTGGTTTTATTTTCTTACATGTAGAACTTGGTATTCAGCCCTAGTGAATTTCATGCAGTTGCTTTCAGCCCAGTGCTCCGGCCTGTCAAGACCACTTTGATTTTATTTCTGCCTTCCAGTGCATTAGCTATCCTATGCAGTTTTGTGCCATCTGCAAATCCAATCAGCATTCCCTGCACCCCTTTCTCCAAGTCATTCATAAAAATGTTGAAGAGCATTGGCCCCAGGACCAAGCCCTGTGGTGCCCCACTCATTACCTCAACCTAGTCTGAGAAGATGCCACTGGGAAGCATTCTTTGAGACTGATTTTACAGTTTATAAACACTTTGAAAGTGCTCCATGTTTTCTTTTCTCCTAAGGACAAACTGCATTATGTTAAATGCGTAGCCGGATGGTGGTGGTTTTCTTGACCAAAAATAAGCACCCAGGCCCTGATCTGGGTTGGGACTATTGCATATGGAGAGAGGAGGTGTAATCCTCCCCTTCCCAGCTGTTTTCCACCTGAAATCCCCTCTCCCACTCTTAGCCCCACAGTTAAAAGAAGAAACAAACCTATTGTCATTTCAGCCATCACAGTTTAAGTGATGCCAACCAACATACATATCCCTAGGTGTTGTTGTACCAGTAGCATTACAGCATTACTGAACTTTAAAAAAAATGTTATTGGATGTTTCAAAACAAAGCAACAAAAGTGAAGAGGAACAGAATCAAATAAAATATGAGTTTTCTTAAATACAATTGAACAAAAATAGTATTATCCATAATATTACACACCAGTGAAATATACTCCTGTGTATGACATACATATACTATCTATTGGTAAAGGTGTTTATGCATAAACAAAAGGAAAGTTAGCCCAAATATATATTTGTCCATTTCTAAATTATGTCTAAAGGTCACCCTTTCAAAAATCAAGTTTCCTTAAATCCTGCTTGTTTTAAATCCTTAAAACAATAATCCATTGTTTTATTAGAAAGTGGTCATTTATCCTTCTGGTGTTGTAGTACTGGTCTTTTAACTGTCAAAAGGGCATGGAAAATCCATTTGCCTTGCATTAAATTTCAAGAGATGGGTTGATAGAGCCATCATCATGGGTCTCATGTGCATCATTGACTATTAAAGAACTTTCCTTCACGAAATTACCATTATTGCCTCCTTCCAAATGGAAGTAACCACTGAGCATTACCAAAACATATAAATAAGAGAGGTATTAGATATATGCCACCTCCAACAAAAGTCCTTATCAAAAAGCTAATCAAAACAACATTTATGCTGAATTAAATGTATCTTAGTATCCATGATTCCTGCTAAAATAGATGACGCAATTGACTGGGCAAAATGGGTTGCCCCATTCAGTTATTTCATTCTCGCCTAAAGCCCTGTATATGGTATTTATTCACTGATAATAAATATTTCTATAAGTAGATTGTCGGCCATTAGAGCTGTTCAGCCTCAGTCAGTACTTCCAATAACTGGAGTGGCTCTGCAACTGTGAAAGCAAAAAGACTGAATCTAGAGCCTAACAAATATTTCAATGGTATATATTGCCTGTCAGTCCTAGTTGGCAGTTTGTAATTAGCGTGCAACATAAAAAAAAAGGCAAAAAATTGTGATAAGGACCTATTACTGATCCAAAGTAAAAACCAGCCTGCCCATCCAAGTCTGCCAAACAATTTTTTTTGCCAATCTTTAAGTCCATATTTTCCCACAGAATTAATTTTATATTTGAAAATAAATCAAATTGCAGTGGCATGCAATTATGTGCCATACATCTGTAACTGTAACAGGTATCCTGTCTGTTTTGGTATGCCAAGAGTCCAGTGCAATCAATTTGGGAAAAGGATTGAAACAAGAAGATTCCAGAAGTGACCAAGGAATAAAATCTAGTTTGAGTGGAAAAGATCAAAATCTTGTACTTATCAACAGGAGGCCCCAGTGATACAAGGAAAGATCAGAGGAGCCAGATCTACGCCATTTAATTTGAAGTTGCATTCTTTTCAAGGATTTTTGTGGCATAGTGGAACTCCATTAAATTTATAAAATGAATCAAAGCATTAAGTTTCTGAAAGTACTTGCCAGTGATAAATAAAGGAATACTACAGAGGACATAAATAATTTGAGGTGTTGCATTATATCATTATAGAACATGGCATGTCAGCAGCACTTTGGCTATTGTGAGTCAGGCTTATCTTAGCTTTAGTGTAGGATGAATGTTAATAGCTCGCAGAGTCCCACTGAACTTAGAATGACTATTTCAGACTACTTAGGTTCAAGTTGCAGCTACAATAAGTAAGTCAACTTGTGTTGGTTGTTTTTCAGAACGTGGCCTTAAACCCTTGTTCAGGAAGCTCAGAAGCATTGCTCTAAGCAATTGAAATCATTAAATCTTATTTTTAACTCCATGAATATTTAAGAAAGACACTTTAAAATGCTACCCATATTTTAAAAATGCAATTTCCTTTGATTGTATATGTTAATTTTATGTGTGTTTTTCCACAGATAGATGCTATTCCTAAAGATGATGGGACACTATTAGAAAGACGCAAGGAGCTCCAGAAAGAAGTTGAAAATGCTAAGAGGAATCTGACCCAAGAGGTAGGTGATTACTGTTCTTTATTCAATGCTTTTCTAGCTAGTTGTCATACCAGGATGTTTGTCAGACTTTGATTTAAACTTCTTCCTATAGGTATTAATTAGATAGTTACAAAATAATTTCCTTTGTTTCGAAAAAATACTCCTATCCTGAGAAACTCGCTTCTTATTATCTTTTTTTAAACAATTCTTAATATAATGTTGTTTGAAGTAGGTAGGTGTAGCTGGCACATACCTGTGCCACAAACCCCCTGCTAAGACTAAATTGCTCCTTGTTTACACTAAATGCCACCACCATTCCTGTTTTCCTTTCATTCCCGACTGGGAGGATTGCAGAGGTATGAGCTAATGATCTGCCTGGATTAGGTGCCTGTTCACGCAAGCCCTCCCCTCGGTCCGTGTCCTGCTTCCTCCTCATAGGCATGAATCCAAAGACTTGACTAGTGCTGCTAAGTGGTCATGGTTCTTGCTCAGAAAGCCTACATTCAAAATCTTCAATCTGAAAGTGAGAAACATGCCTACTGAAGGGAAGATCAAAAAACACAAGAAGGAAAGCAGAAAGAGTTTAAAAGAAATTGAAACCATTACAGGAATTTAGCTGACTTGCACTGAACTAGAAGCCACTGATTTGCACATAGAGAATGCTAGGAAGGATGCTGCATACCTCATCCTTGCCTGGAAGGGGTGCCTGGGCTTGAGAGCGACAGCAGACCCCAATGCCCAAGAAACAAAAAAGTCCATTTTATGAGGTTTGGCTAGAGGGGGCTTTGATGAACAGCCACCATTGAATTAGGCAATGGCTAAAGCCGCCTAGGCAGCAAGATGCTGGTTCTCTCCTGGCAAGAGAGAAAGGCTGTTAATTAAAAAACAAGGGCTGTTTTGTGCAGCTCTGCCTGAAGGGTTATTTCCAAAAGCCATTCCTGTTTGTGGATTCAAAAGCCCAGAGAAAGGGTGACAGAGATGCATACACTGAGGTGACAGCCTCAGCTATTTATGAGGCTTTGTCAGGTTGCAAGGGATCGTGACAGTAGACTTTCATGCACAGAGTGCAAATCAGTCACACCAAACATGCAATAGCTCAGGGGGACTGTGTATGAACGGTCATTATGTTTTGCCCTCCATTATGCGCAGGTGTAGAACTGGCAGGATGGCAGCCCCCTTTTCAATTACTTGATAAAATTGCAGGTCCATCCAGTCAGTAACCTGCAGGCACTAATCCCAGTTTTAGTCCCACAAGCTTTCTGCATCTGACCTGCAGAATAATGCAAGTTACAGAATTTAGCACTTGTGATGGGTGCAGAATTCCCTTATTTATTAAATTTTCCAGCTTCAGAGGACGGCAGCAAGGGACACTGGCCAAGGCCTCACCCTTGAAAGGAGTCTGCTGCCAATCTTCAGAGCCCCCGGCCCTGTTCCTTACTCCTGATGGCTGTTGACCTGCCTGTCTGAGCATGCAAGCAGTTACACTGAGGAGCAGCCTGCCTTTACCCTCTCCTCCCCCTCTTGGCAATTGTGGCTGAAGAGGATGGGTAGCAGTGGCAGAGGTAAAGAGGAGGTAAGGTCTCACTGAAGGCATCTTTCCAAATTCCCCAACCTCTGCCCTTCTGAAAAGGACCTGGAACTCACGCTTCACATCCATTTGTCTGCTACATTAGACATTGTTGTTCCTTTGCTCTGTGAATATAATGAGTTAATTTACCAATTCCCTGGTCTTTTCTCTTGGTATTTTCAATCTAGAAAACTTCAACAGATGCCGAAGTAAGAATGCTTGAACAGTGTATTGCTGAAGAAGACCAGCTTTTTAAAGCTCAGGAACATTTCAGAGAGGACGTTGCCAACTTGATACGTATGATTCAGCTAAAGGCTGATGAGAGGGAACAGAAGTCAAAGGATTGTTTAAAAGCCCAGGTAAGAAGAATCCAGTGGATGGCTGGTCTGTTACATTAGATACTATTACTTACCTGGACTTTCCAGGTGTCTGTATACTTCAGCCTTAGCCATAGTTTGTGGCCTTTATACTTCAATAATTGGCAAGTGGTACAAAGGCTTCGTTGTATCAAAACCACTGGCAAATCTATACTTGTATATGACATAATTATTTTTCTTCCTCTCCTGCACCACATTCAATGGGAAAATACAAGAATTAGGACTGTGTTCTGAAGTTGGGTAAGTTATCTTCACTGCCTGTTTGTCCCAAGATGTTGCTAGTTTTAATGGGTGTCTATTAAAGATGTTTTCTCTTTATGAGAGGCAAGAGCTCTTGGAAATGAGGTGGTGGCTCACTCGCTTGGAGATCTCCCAGTGAGTCCAAAACCATCTCCGAGCGAGCAAGCCACCACCTCCCCCCACAGCACTGCGAGAGAAGTGGTGAACGTGCGCGTACGGGAGGCAGGCGGTGGCACTGGCTTGCTCACTCAGAGACCGTCTCTGAGCGAGCAAGCTACCACCTCCCCCCTGCCCCCAGTGCCGTGAGGCAGCGTGCTGGTGGCGAATGTTGGCGCAGGCCGGATGGATGGCTGTGGTGGGCCAGATTCGTCCCACGGGCCATAGCTTGAGGACCCATGGTCTAGAACTAGATCACATCATTTACAACTGTGATTCCTTGAACAGTGATTGCTTGAAAGCTGTACCATATTTGTTGTATTTATAATTCTTTCTGCCTCCAGCAACTCAAATATGTGCCCTCCTCATTTTAGCCTCACAACAACTCTATGAAGTCGGTTAGGTTGATTGCTAACAATGGGCCCATACAAAACTCAGGGTTAAGAAATGGGGTTTACTGACATTACTGACATTTTAAGTCATTAATTTCTTGTCAGGAGGTGGAGTAGGAACTGAGAGAAGAAGGTTTGGCAGTCAGCTGAAATGCTTAAATTGTTAGAGGAGGTACTGATGATAGTTGTAAACTTCTTCCACTTTCTTCAATTCATTCTTTCTCTCATCTTCTAGAACAGCCTTCCATAAGCTGGTGCTATGCAGGACTCCAGCTCCTAGAACCCCCAGCCTATCTATCTATCTATCTATCTATCTATCAATCAATCAATCAATCAATCTATCTATGGCTTGCTTGCTTGCTTATTTATTTATTTGTTTATTTATTTAAAGCTTTTATAAGCCATCCTATTATATAAAAATCTCAGGATGGCGTACAATGTTTAAAAGAACAATTAAAACCATGACAATTTCTAATAAATAAAATTAAAATAGAATAGTATATAATACAAAACAGTAAATCACAAAACAAAATGAGAGCAACTGACTTTAAAAGTTGTTGATTTTAAAATACTGTTTAAATGAAAAGGTTTTGACCTGGCACTGAAAAGAATATAAGCTTGGCGCCAGGTATACCTCTCTGGGGAGTACATTCCAGAGTCTGGGTGCCACAGCAGAGAAGGCCCTACTCTGAGTTGATGACCTTTTTACCTCTCTTAGAGAGGGTTCCCAGAGCAGGGCTTCTCCCACAGATCTTAGTGGCCGTGAGGGCATATAAGGAAGGAGGTGTTCCTTCAGGTATTCTGGTCACAAGCCATTTAAGGCTTTATAGGTCAAAACCAGCACCTTGAATTGGGCCTGGACTTCAGCTGGAAGCCAGTGGAGCTGGTAGAGGACCAGCATTATGTGAGAATAACAGCTAGTCTCCGTCAGCAGCCTGGTAGCTCTATTCTGTACCAGTTGATGTATCTGGACTGTTTTCAAGGGCAGTCCCACAAGGAGTGCATTGAAATAATCCAAGCTGGAAGTTACCAGAGCATGTTTCACTCTGTTGCTAGGGAGTGCTCATCCAGGTAAGGACACAGCTGGTGGATCAGTTGAAGTTGTAGGAAAGCACTCCTTGCCACTCCTTGCCATCTGGAACTCCAGTGACAGCTCTGGGTCAAGAAGCACTCCCAAGCTGTGGACCCTGTCCTTTAGAGGGAGTGCTACCCCATCCAGGACAGGGTCAAAATCACCTACCTGGAGACCCACACCGCCCACCAACAGAACTTCTGTCTTACCTGGATGAGGCTCAGTTTATTGTTCCTCATCCAGCCTATTACCTCGGCCAGGCACTGGTTCAGTATAGCCACTGCCTCACCTGGAGCAGATGTAAATGAGAGGTAGAGCTGGGTGTCAACAGCATACTGATGACTCCGCAGCCCAAACTTCCTGATGACCTCTCTCAGAGGCTTCATGTAGATGTTAAATCGTATGGAGGACAAAATAGAGCCCTGCAGAACTCCATGGCAAAGCTGCTATGTAACCAGAAATGCTGGGAGTTGCAGTCTAAAACATCAGCTGGGAAGCAGGTTGAGGAAGACTGTTCTAGAAAGTTACTTTGACCAGCTTTCTTTTTTGTTAGGCTGATGGTTGCATGCCATGTTCTTAACAGTGAAGGAGAGTTAACACTCCTCTTTGATTCCTGGGGTCTTTGGCATGTTATCCCCTTGTTGCACCATTCCCATCTTGCTGTTGTGTTATATGAATGAGGTAGAAGGTGTTTTCTAATAAAAAACATGTAAAAATACTAACTTTTGTTCACTTATTCTTCGGCCTACAGTGATAAAGCCAGTCATTTTGAGTGGATGCAGAGGGAACTGTGCTAGCCAGTCTTTGGTTCATCGGCACATCTGGTAGTTGGGATAAGATGGGATTAGATCTGGTCCCTCTCTTACCACCATCCGGCCCAGTGCCTCTTTAAATGCCCAGCATTTGCTCCTGCTGAGGAAGAGACAACATAGCGGAAAAGCTGCTCTAGAAATAGGCTCTATGATTCTCACTGCAGATACTTCATTTCTTGAGCATCCTAGGAAACAGTGCTCAAATGTGTCTGCCTGCTTTCTAGGCTACTCCAAGGGTCCATGCAGGCTGTTGCTAGAGCATTTTTCTTTCTATCAGGGGTGGAAGAAGGGTTAAAGCTGTGAATATGTGTGTCTATGTGTGACTGAAGGTGCAAGGAAGTGACAGTTATCATTATGTGTAAATATCACCTTCTCGTTCTTTAGAAATATTTTCAGGACTGTTGCACAGTGAAATGTTCATTACCTTTTGTACTGCAGGTACGGCTGAATAACATTATTGCAGAAATAAAAACAAAAGACTTTGAAATAAGGGAACATATGAAGAAGCAAAGAGAAATTCAGAGGCAGTAAGTGAACTTTGACAATGGATTTAATGAAGTAGCTTCTTCTAAAGCAAGTGACAGCAGATGTTTTAAAAAGATTAACACCTTTGCCTAAAATCTGTTTGATTTTCAGAATGAAAGAATTTGCAAAAATGTATGACATTGTGCGACATGAGAGAAACAAACTGGTAAACCTTGTGCATTGTGCCCGTCAGAAGACAAATGAAATTAAAGAGAAGGTCAAAATGCTGGACAATGAGATGGAAATCTTAAGGCACAATGCCATAATTAAGGAGAGGTGAGCACCCAGACAAGTAATTCTTTAGAATTATTCCTGATTGTTGCTAGCAACAAAGGATTTATTTTCTTCTTACATGGCAGATTTATCTCTTCCATTTTCATACGTTCTACTTATTTCAGTCTTAACTATACATTCATCTTGAAGCGCTTAAAAGAACCTTCTTGTATCAACAGGCTTATTCAGATGTATTATCACTTGCTAGATTAAGGACTGCAGGCATGAATCAAACAAATATTTAGATGCACGTCAGAAGGTGCCTCTGAGTGAAAATGCCATGCATGGAACTGTATGCAAGATGCAAGAACATGTGAAGCAGGGTTAAGCAGGAGAGCAAAACATGTGCATTGTAGTCCCCTACTAAGTGTGTGCCAGTCTAAATAGGGGAGAGGAGGAGGAGGTGAAAGGAAGACGAGCAAAGTTTTGATCCAATTAGAGGATTGGAAGGTGTTGCAAACCAGTGAGTTCTAGGGGAGCATGGGTAGAAGAGCTTAGCATGAGTTTGGGGATGCAAAAAGGTTGTGGACTGATGTAAAAAGGGGATAGCTTTAAGAGGGGTGTTATGCATAGTGTAACCCTTGGAGAGCAACATTCTCAACTAATACTCAGATGCAGATAAGGGGAGGTTGATGCCGCACCCACGCCGAGATTTCATACTGGACAGGGAATGCAATTTCTACATTGTTGCTATAATTACATCTTTGGTTTCATCTTCTGTGGGATATTATAACTGTAACCGATCATCATTTCCACAGATGTTCACAGTGGTCTTTTGACAGTGAGAATGCACTGTGGATGTATCAGGGAAGTAATGGTCAAAGTAATAGTATCAATGGCCAATGTCAGGGTTTTAAGTGTTTGTGCAGTTCTCAAAATTATCAGTAAAAAAGTAAGAAATTGAGGAGGATTTATAGTGTCTTGTCTAAGGACATCTAGAAAATTTATTCAAACAGTGTTGTTCATTGTATTCAGGAAATTGCAAAAATACCAGCTGAAGCTTTCAAATAACATCGCAATCAAAGAAAGCATCAAGTGTGATGTCTCTAAGGTTCACCAAACACTTCAAGAGATGAAAGAAAAGCGAGAGCAGCAGCTGATGGATGTTGAAAGACTCACCAACATGCTCACTCATACTGAGGAGGAAATGGTGCAATTGCGTAAAAAATATGAAAGAGCTGTTCAGCGCCGAAATGAGAGGTGAGGCCAGGAAAATCAACAAGGCAGCAAGTTGGTTTTACTCTATTTAACTGAAAAGGTACTCTCCGTTTCAGTGCAAATCATTTCTCAGCCCTGCAGTCCTATGTACAGTAAAACATTGGATTGTGAGTAACTTGGTCTGCGAGTGTTTTGCAAGACGAGCAAAAAGTTTTTCTAAATTTTAACTTGATAAACGAGCAATGCCTTTCAGTACAAGTATTACATGTGCACTTTGCTGCTGAGCATCACGTCACAACTGAGCGCCGGTTCGTCCGTCTCTCGCTGTGGGCGTGAGTACAGCATCGCCTCCCCCGCAGCGCATCCACAATCGTGCCCATCTCTCCCCCTGAGCAGGCCGACTTCAAATGTTTGTGATAAAAAAAAGTTACAGAATGGATTAACCTTATTTACATTGTACCTTATGAGGAAATTAGCTTTGATATACAAGTGCTTTGCATTACAAGAATGTTTCTGGAACGAATTATGCTCACAATCTAAGGTTTTACTGTAGTGTGCATTCTACACTACAGTAAGAGGAATGATTTCTGCCGAAATGATTGAGTGTGCATTCATTGATTGGGTGGGTACCATTTGAAAGTGTTCCATGAATATATTATTTAAAACTACTTCAAGTGTTCTACTGTGAGGCTCATCACAGGTGAGTGAAGACAGATATTAAAAAGAAACCCTAAACAAAGCACTGATTTCCAAGTAAGCATGCATGGGACCGCACTGCGACCCACTACTTCAGGTGCATGGTGCCTCTTCAGTGTAGTGCAGCCTTGTCCCCGAGTTACCCTAAACATACATGCAGATTCAAGGGAATAATCATTTTGCATGATTTAATCAGTCTGACTATGCAAGTGTGTTAGCTAATCCACAGTGAATTTTTTTATGAACAAATTAAGCCTTCAGGCCCAGCAGATCCAGGGTTTTTTCCTATATCAACAGAATGCTAAGAAGGAAGACAACACTGTACTGTAGTGAGGAAGGCCCCACAATGATGCGCGTGTTGTGAAAGATGTATCTCGAATGGTCGATCAAAATGAATTAAATCTGGTACACAACCTGTCCTTACTGTGGGGTTTTGTTGTAGCGGAGTTCAGCTCATAGAGCGTGAAGAAGAAGTATGCATTTTTTATGAAAAAATAAATGTTCAGGAGATGATGAGCCGAAATGGTGATATTGAAATTAATGTGATGGACGAAAAGATCCGCTTTTTAAAGTTGAAGCTAACTGAGAAAAAAAGGCAGATTGAGTTATCACTGAGGACCTTGCCCATGAAAAGAAGTCTAGATGCTGATTTGGTAGTCCTTCAGATTCAGGTAGGTACAATTAAAGATTTTATTTCAAAATGTGAATGGATCAAATTACCATTAAAACTGGTTGCACTAGTGCACTAGACACAGTCCTATGCATATTTAGCAGAAAAGAAGTCTTACAGCTCCCACCATCCTGGGACCTATGGGAATTTCTTTTCCTCTGTGAATGTGTAAAGGATTGTGTTTTAAAAGTTGTAGGGTGTGAGCAAGATATCCTAATATACTGAAATGGGCAGATGGCTATAAGTCTTGAGGCACCCAGACGGTGCATAGTGATAGCTATCTATATAATAGAATTCAGTTACCTAGTGAGAAGATACAGCATGGGTTATTTGTCTTCAGCAGAAAATGCTACGTTTCTGTAAGCAGATAAATCAAGTGGTATTCCTAATTCAGGGTTGCATAACCATAATTGCACTTTCAATCCTATTGCTGTAAAACTGAGCAACATTAAGCTTACTCTAGTGAGACGGTTTTTCCTCTTATTAGTAATTCGTCTGCTGGACACAGCACATTTTGAGTTCTTGTCACAAAGTGTCAAGAAAGACTGTGGAATTCCTAATGCTAGGGACATTCTTTCCTTTCTTTCTGAAAGGGCCTAGTTACTTCTGACCTTATCAGCAAACAGTATTTTTTTCCATGCACTTTCTGTTCATGGTTATGCAGAATTCTAACTTTTGACAGATCAGAGCTGCTATTTCTGTAGGAGAGTTGCAGCTTACCTCTACTAGTTTTGGGGAATTGCAGATAATTTTGCCAGATCCCCTGAAGAATGTATAAATAATCCAAGTAATAAGAACTCTGAGTGACAAATATAGCTTTAACAGGACAGCTGACTACATGAAAGGGGTGTGACTTGCATCCTTGTATCTGGATAATCAGATGTACTTATACATGGGAACTAGGTTACTGACAGAATGCTTGCGAACTTCTGAATCTGAACGGCTTGTGGAAAAGAGTTTGTCCTCAAACTGGGCAGCACTACTTAGCCAAGATGGGAACAACAACAATTTACTGGGAGTTTAAGACAGGCAGGGTACTTTAAGCACCAAATTAGCAAGGAGGTTTAAAAAACAGGAGGAGGAAGGAGCCAAATCTCTTATATTACTTAGGGGCAGGAGAGGCTGTGTGGTCTTGCTGAGGGAGGCAGAGAAGGGTGAAAGGCTGAATTGCACATGTCAGTTCAAAGCTAATTGCAGCATCTTGCAATTTCTAGCTATATTTAGAATTGCTAATGGGAATGCTTGGTTCTGCTACTGTTAGGACAGATTATGGAGAAACAGAATGGCTTCCTGTAGGCCAAAGTGTCAGGTAGGGGTGTATTTTATATCCCTGTATACCAAACACTCAATCTGTACGCAGAACATATCATAATGAAAGCTGGATTAGGATCAGAAAAAGGAGAAATATACATCAATATTTTAAGATACTTAGATGGTACCATGTGGTTGGCAGAAAGCAGAAATGGATTGAAATAACTCCTTGTGAAAGTGAAAAAGAAAAGTCTGAAAGCAGGACTGCAGCTAAACATTAAGAAGATAAAAATCATGACTACAGAACAGTTACACAACAGTAATGGCAACAATGAAGAAATGGAAATTGTGGAAGATTTTGCATACCTTGGCAATTCAAATGAGAACTGAAGCCAAGTAATGAGAAGAAACAGAAAGGCAACAGAGCTAGAAAAGAACCCAAAACAGATCAGGTGTAAAAATGTTTCCTGGAGATCAAGGCCAAGATCACCCACACTGTTGTATTCCTGATTATGATGTTTGGGTGTGAAAGCTGAGCTGTAAAGAAAGCTGACAAGAAGAAAATTGATGCATTCAAAGCATGGTGCTGGAGGCAAGTTCTGCGAGTACCCAGGACTGGCAGATGAGCAAGCCAGAACTTTCTGTGGAAGCAAAATGTTGAAACTGAGGCTGTCATATTTTAGGCACTTCTTGAGAAGGCAAAACTCCCTAGAGAAGACAATCATGCTAGGGAAACTCTGGACAGAAGAAGGGAAAGAAGAGCAAATATGAAATGGGTCAATTCCATAAAGAAAGCCGTAGCCTTGAGTTTGCAAGAGCTAAGCAGAGCTGTCGAGGATAGGTCTGTTTGGAGGGCACTCATTCATTCGTAGGGTTGCCTTCAGTTGGAGATCACTTGACAGCACATAACAACAGCAAGAGTGCTACAGTAAGGCCCCAAGCCTAAACCCGCATTAGAACCTCCCTGTACTTTGTGGGATCAACTTCTCAGTAAAAATGTATGTTTACCTCTTAGGTGAAGCAAAATCAATAAAAAATATGGCTGGCACTGAAACTGAAAAACATTATTGTGGTTAGATGACATTTTGATAAGGTTTCTGAACTGATACATTGTGGCTTCTTGTGTTGTTGTTTGGTGTGTTCTGGAGTGGGTGAACTTTAGCCTCATGAAGTACCGAACAAGTTAACAAGGCTGGGTGTGAGAGAGGGTTGTTTTAGTCTTCCTGCTTTAGCCTGCTTAATAGCATTATAGTGCAGGATGGTGATTAACATTTAATAACATTATAATCAAATGTGACAAGCATATTTAAAGCTAAGAATCATTCATGTTACTTCTGTGGCTGTTTGTGGGGGGGAGAGAGAAAGTGCAGCATAGCGAGTGGGCTTTGCTGTGAAAGTTTGTGCACTATAAAATAGAAGGAAGCCTTTATGAGGTCAAAGGCTACCTCCAAGACAACACCTTGAGAGGCTGACAAGTGAGTGTGGACTCCACAGACTAGTTGAACCCTAACTATGTTGGTGTTAGTCGCAAAGTCGCATCCGACCCATGGACAACATTCCTCCAGGCTCTCCTGTACTCCACCATCCCCCGGAGTCCACTTAAGCTCACACCGACTGCTTCAGTGACTCCATCTAGCCACCTCATTCTCTGCCGTCCCCTTCTTCTCTTGCTGTCAATTGTTCCCAGCATTAGGCTCTTCTCCAGTGAGTATTTCCTTCTCATTCACCCATTGATGAATGGTTTGCCTTGGATTTGAACTGAGATCATTCTGTCTTTTGGAGATTGTATCTAGTACTGCTTTTTCTACTCTTTTATTGACTATGAAGGCTATTCCATTTCTTCTGAGGGATTCTTGCCCACAGTAGTATACCTGATGGTCATCTGAATTAAATTCACCCATTCCTGTCCATTTTAGTTCCCTGATTCCCAAGATGTCGATGCTCAGTCTTGTCATCTCTTGTTTGACCACGTCCAGCTTGCCTTGATTCATGGATCTTACATTCCAGGTTCCTATGGAGTTTAGATCTTTACAGCATTGGACTCTCCTTTCACCACCAGCTACATCGGCAACTGAGTGTCCTTTCGGCTTTGGCCCAGTCAAAGCTTCATTCTTTCTGGCGCTACTAATACTAGCCCTCTGCTCTTCTCCAGGAGCACATTGGACACCTTCTGACCTGAGGGGCTCATCTTTCGGTGTCATATCTTTTTGCCTTTTGGTACTGTCCATGGGATTTTCATGGCAAGGGTACTGGAGTGGGTTGCCATTTCCTTCTCCAGTGGATCACGTTTTGTCAGAGCTCTCTGCTATGACCTGTCCGTCTGGGGTGGCCCTGCACAGCATAGCTCATAGCTTCATTGTGCTACACAAGCCCCTTCACCATGGCAAGGCAGTGATCTGGCTACCATTAAGGGGGCCCTAACTATACAGACACTCAAAAGCTTGTTCACACATAGAAGAGTGTGGGTACATTGGAGAGCAGTAAGGAACCCCCAACTTTTTTTCACATGAGCTGGCTACCATTATTGCTGTAAAGATTGGGAAAATTCTAGCCCAGCTAACTTTTATGAAGGACAGGTAGTTCTGTGACTTGTGCTCTGCTTCAGGTCAGTGACACCGGCAGAGCAGTGGCTTGTGGTGTGTTGTGTAAGGGTTCTGATCTGCATAGCTAGCAACTTCCTGTTGTTTGTATGGTAAGTGAGGTTTTTCATACTTTTCATTTTGCTGCATGCACTGTATTGTTGTGCCAATTCTTAGCTTCCTAGAACATCTTAATTCTTAGCTTCCTAGAACATCTTAATCAATCCAAATTTTAAACTGATGCAATTGGAAGACAGAGTGATTTTACCCTCATTTTTTCCACTATACTTCCTTTTTTTAAAGTGCTTTTCCTGGAGATTATTAAAGTGTTTTTTCCTGTGAAACGGTTTAGCTTCTGAGAAGAGGAAGGACAGGGTGGTACAGCTTTACCAAAAAAAAGTCTACAGAATGATTCACCTACTTATTGTCTGATCTGGATACCAGATGCTGCTGTGTACCTTTTGTCAAAATAGTTATTTTGGTGCCAATGTCGTAAGATTGCATTCCTTCAGAAATGCAAGTACAAATGAGTTATAAATTGCTTAATTCCCCAGAACTCTCATACAAACGTACATAAAGTTCTCAGAGTACAAAAAGATGCAATTGACTTCATTTTGGCTAATTAGTTCCAGTAATCCTATATAGGATTAGACAGCTCTAGCATGCTCTGGCCAATTTAGGGCTTTTTCAGTCTAAAGATGCATAGGATAGCACCCCAAGAGAGTTTTTTATGATTTTGAATGGGAAGGTTGTCCGTGATATATTTGTTTCTCTTGTTTGATAGTTTTCACAATGCAAGGACAGAATTAAAAGCCTGGAGAAATTGTTTGCTGACCCTAATGAAGAAAAAAGGACAAGAAAACTGCCAGGAAAGGACCCTTCTCAAGCAGAGCTGTTCAAAAAGATAGAGGAGGTAGTATATTATTATTCAGGCCTCAGAGAAGCCATTACGGTAACAGCTCTGTTGTGCTACCTGCCCTAACAGGCCAGACAGAGTGCCTCCTTAGACACACGACCTTCCCAAGGCAGCTCACCACCTTCTCCCCCATGCCATCTATGGAGTCACACCCCTCCTGTGTCCTGACATTACTGAGCTGTGAATTGGACCGTCCCACCAGCCAGTGATACTGAGCTGGTATGGAGGACTGTCCAAGTTGATTATGTCGGGTCACAAGGTAAGGTATTCCACATATCATGGAGGGGCTGGGACAGACGTCTCATGCAAAGTTGTCATTTTGAGTGGCAACACCATAGCTTTTACAATACTTTTCTTCTTCCCCTTAATTACAATCATCAGTGCCTTTTCCTGTATCCTACAAACACTGTTCATGAGCCTTCCAGTTTCAAAGTAGAACTGCAAGGGGGTTTTTTTCCCCTACCTTGCATGTCTAAAGCCTTACATGTAGTGGAATTGCTGACTAAATCAGTCATTTTCAAAATAAAATAGCCACACTCCTACAGTGTTGGGCATTTTCATAGAAATCAAGAAAGGAATATGGAATGATGGAGGTGGTTGTGATTAGGGCTGTCAGCCAATTCACAATCATTTACCTTGCTGTTATATTAACAAATGGATCAACTTACACATCTCCGTCAGTATTATTTTTCAGTGCATATGATCAAGGTTTTTGTTCCTTGACCAGAAATAATCTTTTTATTGGAGGAAGGCTTTTTCAGAGAACGATCTTTAGATGCAGCTCAGTATCCAATCCTGATAATGCTTGGAAAAATGGATCAGTAAGGAGAACAGTTTTAACTCATCTTCTGTTTTTAAAATGCTTCTCTTTCACTTGCTTTCAATTCTGATCTAACAGATATACCTCTGTGAGAATAATGCCCAGTGCATTGTTCCGAAAGAAAATGTCACAGTAGATTCATCCCTGTATTTTGTGCTTCTCCTATTGGAGATGGTATTTCAAAAGAAAGCTCTGAACTTGATATGAGAAACACTCCGGCAGAGCAATCCTGTAGCAGCCAGACAACCATAGGATTGCTTGGCTCCTCAGCTACAAGGTCAGAAACTTACTCCAACCTCCTTGCTGGGGCCTGGAGAGCCAATCCCGCTCCCCTGCTTGCACCCAGTGCAGGGGTTTCCACATTGACTGTGCCTTTGAGGCTGCACGAACCATCTCAGAGGCTCCTCCTCTTCTGCATGAGGGCACCCCACTTAGAGGGCCAAAAGTGGCCATCTGAGTGTTTGGCAGAGCAAGAAAAGTACAAAGGTGACCTTTACCTCAGTGCTCCTTCTGTCCTGAATAGGCTGCCTGTAATCCTCCAGTCTGGGAGGGTTTTAGGCATCCCAACTGGATTATGCCAAGATATATATCCAGGAGAAAAAAGCTACGTGTTAGTTGTGATAAGGAAGCTTTCCTGAAATACTTTTATTGGTCTACAACACTCAACACACTTGACAATTTTGTATTGTAAAAAAAATCAAAACAAGGAAATTGAGCATTGTTTTTGGCAACTTTTATTCCCAATTATTATTTGCGTGACTTGAGCAATTTGTTCTTGCTATAGTTGGAAATACACCTAGCACAGAAGGAAGAGAAACTGCTTGAGAAGGATTTTATTTATGAGCAAGTTTCTCGGCTGACAGAAAGAATCAACAGGAAAGCAGAAAACGGCAAGCAAGACACATTAATACTGGCAAAAAAGGTAAGGCTATGTCACATAAACAATCCACAAGAACGTCTCCTGGGGAAAATACAGAACTGTGATTATTTTCCCTGATCATTTTGCATTTTTAGCATATAACAATACTAAGGGGTGCAGTCTAATGCCCCGTAAGTATGAACTGGGAGACTTATGCATAGCCTATGCATAGAATGAGGCACTGGGGCAGCAGTCTCCACTGCTGCTCTTCCTTTTGCCAAGTATTTTATGTAGCCAGCCAGTTTTGGCTACCTAGATTAAGTGCCAGGGAAAAGAGGAGGCTGGGTTCCTGATAAAAAATAGACAGAAGCTGTTGGCCTCAGCCTCTTCCCTGTCACATCCCCTTTTTCCTCTTCAAGCCCCAGTTGTGACTGGGGGGCAGCTGGTGTGGTTCTTTCCATGACAGTTGTGGGGGGAGGGGCAGGTGGGGGCTGAGCCTCCAAATAATCCTGTGGCCTCCCAGATGGTTTTGGGAGGTCATAGGATTGCACTCAAAATGTTGAAAATCATTCCTGTCTGTTTAGTTGAAACAGTAAATGGAAAGAACTACCAATCCTAGAGGTCATGTGCATAATAAATGAATACAAATCTTTGCAAACTATTTTCTAAATGTTTGGAACAGTCTTCTTTCAGAAGTGCATAGCTGCATTATGCTTATTTATGGAGGCACCATTTGGCATTTGGAGAGGCTTCGAGTTATATAGAAGGGCAGAGGCCTGTAAGAACGTGGGTATCATTTTGTGATTGTTGTTCCTTCCAGATGAATGAACTACAAGAGAAAATAAAAAGTACAACGCAAAAGATGATGGCTCTTATTGCAGAGTTATCTATGAATCAAGCCCTTGCCATTAAACTGCAACAAGAAATGAGGGACAAAGAGCAGTTTTTAATGTGCATCACCTCCAGGCTAGAGAAAGGCCTCCCACCTCCTAAGGAAGTAGAGAAGGAGTGGTTAAAGGTGCTCCGCGATGAACAAGTATATAAAGCTGCAGTGGAAGACAAAGCAAAGGTGAGTTTCTGCTGGGATGCTGATGTTGACAACAGCAGTCAGGTTTGCCTAGTGTGGGCTTATGGGGAATAGTTAATTTCTAACAGCGTCTAAGAAGTGGCCAAGGCTGTTCTGATTGTCTCTCGGAGGTGGAGCTCTACCTCTCACTCAGGAGTGCGGCAAGGCTCTCTTTTATTCCCCATTCTGTTAAATATCTCCATGAAACCGCTGGCAAAGTTTATCCCTAATATGGACTAAGGTATCACCAATATGCAGGGGCAAATGAAGCAGTGGGTGTTCTGGCCAGGTATCAGTGTAACAGTGGACTTGGTGAAGGTCAATAAACTGAGCCTGTTTGTTCAACTTGATGTTCAGCCCATTCCGGAAGGGTTTGTCCTCTCTGAAAAAGAACACTCATAGTTTCGGGGTGTTCTGGATCCACCCTTTACAGCAAGGCACATGTGGCCTTGGTGGTAGGGAGCACGTTCATGATCCAGCCACATTCAGAAGTATCTTGACTAGTTATTCTGTTAGTGGAAGCAAGTCAAACATTTGCCCTCCAGATACATGATTCAGCTTGGACATAACAGTGTGTGCTGTTGCTATAGCTCTTTTGTTTTTAAAAGTGATTGCTCTTATAGGGATAATGAGTTGTAGGTATTATCAGAGAGAGGTCAGAAATGCAGAGAGCAGTGAAAGGAGAGTCCAAACTGTTGACCAGGCTGACAACTCAAAGAAAGTGAAAAATGAGCTGTAGCGCAGGAATTTTCCTTAAAATGTCTTGGCACTTACTAGAAGCTGTAGGATTTTCATATTCATCCTTACTATTATGAAAAACCAAACATCAGATCCTTAGTGAGACTTAAGGTGACATAGGTGATCTATGATTGGAGATTAGCCTTGAAATGCCACTAACAACTTTGGGGGAAAGGGCGACTTAGGATGAGGAAATGATGCAGGAGAAAAGACCAAGCATATCCTCTCCAAGTTCAATTTGCAGCTTCACACATGTTCTTTGAAGAAAAACCCACAACAGCAATAACAAACAAGACAACTTCATGGATCACTTGCATCACATTTGTGTCCTTGCTTAGAGTATATACATTCTACCAGCTCTGTCAGCTGCCACTGCAACTAGCATGGGCAAACTAATTAATGTCATGGTTCTGTTGAAAATGTAGCACCTGTAAGAACTATTTTGTTTAATAGTCTTTAATTAACAAGTGGCAATTTGTTTTTACAGCATGCTGTAGAAGAAGAGCAACATGCCTTGCCAACTAGTGTATACACCACAGCTGAGCAGCGCCCCAACGCCTACATCCCGGATGAGGAAAACGTTCTCCCTCTGCCACGGCCTTATGGGGCATTGGCTCCTTTCAAGCCAGGCGAGCCAAGTGCAAATATGAGGCACATAAGGAAACCGATGGTGAAGCCGATAGAAATCTGAAAGGTGGAACTTACAGTTGCTAATTGAGAACACTGATCATTCGAACCGACTTTATGTTCAGTGTCAATAGCAGAATTCCCCAGATTTTATTGGGCTGAATTGGAACTTTATGGAAAGTTATGCCAAGCAATGCTGTCAACATCTGAAATACTCCCTTGTTTCACAGAAACCCTAGTGAGGCAAATTGCATTGCCCAGTAAGGGTTGGTGAACTATGTTCCTCACATGGCTGAAAAGGAAAAAAAATCAAACATTTTTATCAAATGTTTTACTGTCACCAAAACAAACAGCCATAAATAATTACAAGTAGTAAAATGCACATAGATCATCATTAGTACCATACTTCTTCCTTTCTTGCATTTAGATTCCAAACATTTAAGGCTATATTTGGAAATGTAAGGAGATTGTACAGTAATCCAAGTAGCACAATGGTTTTGTCTCCTAAACTTTATATAATTTATAAACATTAGAGATCTGTAGCTTGTAACATACAGATGTATGACACTCTTGTTCATTGTACAAATAAAAGGAACTCTGTAGTAAAATGAGGTTGTGAGACTTCTCTAAATTAGTCATTACATCTGTTCCTCTTAAAAGGTAGAAAAAGCAGTCAGAACTTGTTAAAGAATGTCTTTACCATACAGAACAAAGGGGAAGTTCATGAACCTGGATATAAAAATGGTCCTGGCACTTTTTTCTGATTTGTATTTGCTTTGACTTCTAGTTCTCTATCTCTAACTGTGCTCTGGTTAAAAATATTTTACTATGCAAAGCACTGAAACAATAAATTTTTACTGCATTCCTGCATAGTTAATTATTTTTCAGTCCTACTGCAACAGAATACTTGAGTATCTAAAATGTGACTTAAGACTGTTTCTCCTTTTTTGTTTACTATATGCAGAATAGGGATTTTGCATCTACAGAAGTAAACTTATATAAGTTTAATGGCATCTCAGCATGTGGGAAACTGAAAACTTTCCAAGCTGAAAACCAGTTTTTCTATTGTGAAAAATGACTGCTAAAAAAAGTAAACGGGATCATAGAGCTGTATAAACATAGCTAAGAAATGAAGACAAGACATATGGCTGTTTCCTAAATGGTAACTTCTTTTTACATTGACCCTCAAGCAAGATCTAAAACAAACAGGCCCAATCCAGTGTCAGTTCAATGACCTTAAATCTATTGCTTGCAATGGAAGAAATGAAGACAAACACCTGTATCTCCCACCATTAATAGGACTTAAAACTGATTCATGCCCACTGGAAGTTAAGAGGTTAGAATAATGAAATAAATATATCAAACACAACTTCTTTGCAGTAGTTACACATAATAGCAAAAACATTCAAGGAAGATGATACCTTAACAAAGTCTTCGGCTAGTTATACTAGCAAGGACATTAATAGCCAGTTCTAGAACTATATAATTATTCCCATTATTTACAGAGAGCTATTTTATTAGTAATCCTGGCTTTTTCATGCTTCCCAAGTCCATAAATGTGTCCCATCTGTACATCAGGGTACAACAGGTGCCACTTTGTCATTGCTCCATTATGGAGAGCTTCTACCTTTCTTCATTCTTAAAAGGTAAGAATCTGCACATGTATGAATACAGCAGACAAATCAATAATAAATTTGTAATTTCTTGTAGCTACCCCAGCATAACTAGTTTCGGTGCAGAATGTCAGAAATGTATGCCATTAACAATAACAAGTCATCATCATAACAATAACAAGAACTCTCTTTCAGTAGAGGTTTTAGTATTTCTCTTGAAAACTGTCATAGTTGTAGTTTCACAAGTCTAAATCCCAAAATTCTTTTTTCTTTAACACTTAATTGTCCATTTGTTAATAGACCTTGTAAAACTGGGATGCCTCTGAGTTAACCATTTTGTTTTTGGTAAGCAGTACTAAAGACCTAAGAGCATTGTTGTGTGCTTCAGTGCCAACTCTTCCACAGATCTTGCATTCATGATCTCTTGTTCCATAGAAGCCATCAGTCCTAGGGAAGACCATGGAAAACACTTATATGACAGAATTAGATTTGCTTCTCAAGGATACTAATGTGACCAATTTGCTAATCCTAGGCTGCATTCTTTGCTTGATATTATCAAAAACGTAGGCGTTTGTTTTATTTTTCATAGATCATAGCTGTAAAATCTAAAAACATGCACACTTCTCCCAGCTGACAGTAAACCTCTGCTCAGTGACAAGAAACACAGACAAAACAATTAAATTTTCACAGCAACTTCCTAGCTTTTTTTTTTTTTTTTTTTTTTGTGGGTCAGGGGGATATGTCTACATGGTATAATAAAAGGTAGAGGGTATGTTTATCAGTCTACCTGCAACAAGTTTGCAGGCTTGCCTAGTTGAGTAGCTGAAGGCATCACAGCTACTGAACAACTACTTTCCTGTAATACGGCTCCCGTTGCAGTATGGGAACTTGCAGATCTGGATGTTCCAAAGTCCCTGAATAAATGAAAACTAGCATCTAGCAGACCACATGATTATTTCTCATGGAGCTTCCCATTTGTCAACAAGTGAGAAGTGGAGGCAGATTGCATTTAACAAGTACAACACAAGCAGTAAGAAACTTTATGGTTAGCTCTGACCCTTCCACCAACCCTCTGCTCCAATTACAGCTTTATGTAACCCTCAATCTGTCTTCTCTGACTTGGTGCCAAGCTGCCTCGGAATTGCAGTTCGACATATGTGCAGGCACCAGGCTGGAGAAGGCTGTCCAGATGGCAAAGTCACAGCAAGATGAGATCTGCTTTTAAATCGACAAGGAGAACCAAGCAGAAAAGTTCAGGAATAGAGTTACCTTGACACTCCGCTTCCACTAACATATTGACCAAATAGTTGAGGGGAAGAAACTCAATCCGGGTTGACAGCTTGTCCACTACCAGCATTCTGTGCTGAAAAGGAAAAAGCAATATAGGCTACAGGAGTGAATTTTAAATTTTCTTATTTATGAACTAAGCTGAGCCCTTACGATACCGCAGCTTCTTCACGGTTTCTCATCTTCTTCACTGTATCCCACTCCCCACCCTGCTGTCATGCTACTGTAACTCTTTAAAATGCTAAGACTTTTAATTTGGATGCTTCAATGCCACTGAAGTACATGAAAGCTTGCAGGTATCCAGAGGTCCAGAAAGCACCACTGCTGTAGTCTGGAACTTATCCTCAAGACCTAATCAAAAATCATGCCCTTACCTGTTTATTCCTATGTTTCTCAAGCAAGAGTTTAACATAGTTCCTTGCAACAGTGTTAGAGCTTGCAGGATGATTGCACATCTGGCAGACCTTGCGACCAATTGCCTGTTCAACAAAAGAAAACGTTAGCTAGCCAATGTTGGTGTGGAAGTGCAATTTGGATACTGGGTGTGTTCTTTCCAGGATGAGTAATTTCATCTGCTCAAATAATCATTAACCAGCCTTAATTCAGTGATATAAACAACGGTTTTGCACACAAGATGCATGTGAACAGGATTTCCTTTGCCAATTGTTAGAGAAGGAGCTCTGTTAGCAAATAGCATGCTCTCCCCTGTCATAGCAGAAATCCTGCTTATACAGTGTGTCCATCTTAGCCAGTAACAGACTCCAGAAGTCAGAAGCAGCCAGCAAAGCATTTACAGTGGTCTACCAACACAGGTCACCGACTTTATCCACTTTACACACAAAGCTCTGTGCTATCAAGGACCAGGTACTTGCACCCTTTCCTTGTTACTTTTTGTACGGCTTGTTCCTTCTAAACCACCAGAGAAAGGTTCAGGAAAATCTTTTGCAGGATGCAGCAACATACACACATCAAAAATAGGCAAAAATGACACACAATGGGAAGAGCAAAATAATACTGGCTTAGGCTCCAAACCTACATTGAAAAGAAACGACCCTAAGGCTTAAAATGACTTAGGATGCAGCCATTGAAGGAACTCCTTAAAACAAAATGAAAAACTGGCTCTGTCCTATTATAAAGCAGCCAAATAATCCCCTTCCATTAAAAAACAAAATCAACTTCTTGAAACAGAAATGGCAAGGAATACAAAATAAACAGCCAAGTTCAGGATCATGAAAAGCATTTGTTCTTAGATCTGTCTGTGGTTTATACAGAAAGAAAGATTACACTTGGCTCAACCCTAGCAACAGAATCATCCCAAAGAAATTCCCCTGCATGCCTCATCCAGCCCTAGATATTACAAGAAATAGGCACATTGAGAATTGGGTAGAAGGGGCAGGAGCTCGGATTCGTCACCAGCTATCTACAGGATAGCTCTTCAGAAAAGAACTTTCCTTTCCTGATGCAGCCCAAGTTGTGTGTGTGCACTACACATTCCAAGACCCAACGGAAAGAAGCTAATGCATGAGCAGCAACACATAGCTGCAAAGTACTGAAGACAAACCTACATATCTACTTAGCCTCATACTATTTCGAATGAAGTTGCCAAAATCATTGCCTAACAACAGTTGTTTTTCACATAAATAGCTCCCTCTATCATTGTACATCTAAAGCTGGACAGCCCAACAACAATCAGATTCCATCAAGAAAACAGACTTTGGCAACAACATATTTGCTTCTATTTATGTTGTTGCTTTTGAGAGGCTGCCAAAGCATGATGCAGGCACTGAAGTCCTGCAGGAACTTTGATTTGATTAGATTTTGTTCAGGGGTTCATATACCACTGGATGCTGACAATGCAGCACTTGTTATACGCCTGACAATCCCACTTCCACTTTTCAGCCCTCAACCAAGATGGAGAAATGCCCAGAATCATTGGCACCGCAAAGCACAGTTGATAATACAACCAACTCCAATAAGCTATTTGGGGAATGCCTGACAACTAATAGGACTTTAAGCATCAAATCAAAAAAGGCAGTCTGAACTATTAGCAATATAAAATCTGAGGCATCATCTGAGATCCCAAAGGATACACTCTGTTTCCTTTGTGGGATTGGAATGGAAGGGAAGCACGTGCAAATGTGTTCAATTTTCCCCTAGTTCCTTTCTGACTAGGGAAACACAAAGTGCTTCATTCTGTCTGTAAGAAACTCCAGCTGCCTGAGGAGCAAAAGCTAAGCAGCTTTAAAGTGCAGCTAAACATCTTGCTAAATGCTTAGAACCCGAGACAGCACAAGCTGTCTTTTCCAAATGAAAGAGACATCCTGACAGGCTTTCAAAACATTGCAAAACCATTACTTTAAAAATCACAGCTTGTAAACCTTATTTCATGCTGACTCTGCAAGACTGGTATTTGTATTATTTTCTGAATGATCTTATCCAAGCCATCATGAGTAGCAGGTCAAAAAAGAGAGGAATAAAAACATGTAAAGCAAGCAACCCAGATTCTAGCAGTGCATCCAAATGAAATTTATGTAGTACAATTACAAGGGAAAGGAGAAGGTTAAAGAGACCTTAGTTTGCCTTTTACCACCCCTGTGAAGCTGAATGAGTGGCACAGCAAACATGGTTGCCCTTTCAGCTCTCGTTCATTTTAAACTATGGTGCCTCTTAAAAGTTAACCTGAGCCCAGGTTGGCAATTGCTTTCGCACTACTCATACTGATAAGGATCCAATTTAAACAATGATTGGCATAAGGGAATTTTCAACACACCACTGTATGCAGTCAGTTTTACAACACCCTCTTCAGGTTGGAGAGGTGAGTATAAACATGAGGAGAATATAACAACTCAAAATGAACATGGCTTCCCGAAGAGAGAAAAATGAAACTTTAGAATGCAACCCTACACACATCTATGCAGGAGTAAGCTCCACTCAATTTGGCAGGACTTGCATCTGAATAAACATCCTAAATAAATACTTAGGATCAGGCTGTTAGCTGGAACAAAAGGGTTCAGGGGTTGTTGTTCTGAGGAGTGTTTCAATGCCCAATCCGAGTCTGCCTTTAGTTCTGTACACATGTCATCCCTAAGAGTTGTGTGTGGGTCTAATCTAAAGGAATAAAAGCTACTGGGAAAGTTTATCCATAGTATTCAAAAACAGAAACTCACTGCAAACAGATTCTAGATATTCACACACAAAAATCACACTACCTCAGGAAGTCTTGTGAGAATACTCAGTTTGAGCTTTTCATTCTTTCCAGTGTTGTCCAGTTCTGGGGGAGAAACAAACAAGAGAATAACAGAAAAAGAGTGCTGACTACAGAAGCACTACTTTAGATCCTTGTAAAATTACTCCCAAGTGCAGTAACTTTGCAACATGGAACATATTCTATTTCCCTTGTGCAGGAATAGTACACATGTTGAATTCTATGCCTACACTAATTCTATTAAGTGTATACTAAGAGGAAGAAAGCAGCCATCTTAATAAATCCTAGAATACAAAATAGTATATTCAAGATAAGGGCATACGCACTACCACAGCTAGCAGTCAGGAGCCATAGCAAGGAGGACATGAGGGTACTTGAGTAGAAACCCCTCCCCGTGATTCTACCCCTCATCCAGCTGCACCTAGGACATCCTCCTGTTTTCAGGGCCATGATTTACCCTTTCATAAGTGTATGCAGTGCAGAAATTCATTATATGATGCTTTCCTCAGCAAGAGAGGCAGCAGTGGGTGAAACTGCACCTGCTGAACTTCTGCCTCCCATACAGTTCTTAAAAGACATAGAAGCCCTGCAAGAAAAAGGGCAACTAGCTTTTCACATAGGAGCTTGCCTCTGCAGATGGGGGCGGATCAAGAGTTAGCCATGCTTTGAGGAGGCTCACTGAAAACAATAGAACAATGACTAACTTAAGTCCCATCAATTTTAATGGGTCTACTTTAATGGGTCTATCTGGAGCGAACCCGCATTCTAGCTTCTGTCAACCTCTGTCTTCCACTGCCCTGAAATCCTCCCCAGCATTTAAGGAGGTTTCCTTCCCACTCTTACGAGGAGATTCAAAATCAGTGCCGTGAGCAACACGACAGGTGAGTTCACGCTAAACCACCATGAGCTGGTTGTTTGCTCACCAAAGGCATGCGGTGTCCTTACAAAGTGCCATTTCAGAGTAGGTGGAAGGGTAGTCACAGCCAAGGAAGACTGGAAGCAGAATTCTTGAGACTGCACAGAGTGGCGTGAGCTGTTTTGTCGCTCTTGCCAAGTGGCTCTGTAGCTCCTTTGCACAAGCTGCTTTGGTGCCACATTTGGACAGTGACCAGTCACCCTGAGAACTGGTTCTCCTCAACCCCACTACAAGCTACATGTTCTTAGGCTGGCTCGTTGGCAAAAAACAGTCCTTGCTCAATCACTCATGCTGGGTTTGGACCTTGTGGCATGCCAAACTGACACTAATGTTCCACAAAGCCCACCTTGACAGATCAAGATGTGCAAACCCAAGAAAGGTTTGCAGTGGGAAACGCCCATTTCAGTGGTGTGTGCCTCTATTTGGCTGAAGCTGTAACCTGTACAGCTTAATTTTATCAGTTATATTCTGTATAATTATAGCAATCATACATTAAGTCATACTGCTCTTGTTATTTACATATGCCGGGGAATTAGACTTATGCAAAACAATTGGAGAATCACATGTATGACCCAGCATTCCAGTAAGAACCACAGAAGCTCAAATTACCTTAAGATTAGTTTTCCTTCTCATTTTCCCCCATGAAAATTAACCAGCCTTTAGTACTCAGGTTAAAGAAACATATTAAAAAACATTCTGTGTTTCTCAGCATTTTGTTGTTTGTAATAGATATGACAGACTATATCAATATAACATATATTCTACTTTTCTACCAAAAATAATCCCTCAAAGCAGCTTGACAATTACAGACACATGTGCGCGCGCACACACACTTAAACATGCCAATAATCTTAAATCCCCACCTGAATAAGGCAAAGAAAAAATGGCACCAGCATCTTCACCCTAGCACTATTCACAAAAGGTAGCATTTTGACCCAGGACAAAAGTGCCACAAGCAAGGCAAATTATGCATATGAAAAGGCCTTTGTTTGGCTGAATGATTCCTCCAGGAGGTTTGAATCAGCATAAGAATGGCTTTTGGTTTTCAGCTAGTACAAGTGATTTAAGACTTACTATTTTCTATAGATATGCATAACAATAAACTTTAAATTAGCATTTTAAAAGCTTTCCCTCAGAGGATTTAAATTTTGTTCGCTGGAGGTTTTAGCTCAGACTTGACTTTCAAGGGAGATTAGAATGATCCAATGATCCATCCTTCACCTTTTGTCCTTTTGTTTAGAGACTTCTGTTTGGGGTATAAAAGTACCCCCAAACTATTGTTATGCCAAGTTTGGGATATTCTGTAGCCTTAGGCACATTTTAGTGGATGGAAAGCAAATGGAAAGGCAGGAGGCTGAAATCTATGGGCAGATTTTTACTAAGCAGATTTTAGCAATGTCCGGGAATGAGAAGACTGAAGGATTCCTTATGTGTAAACTACACAACACAGTATCAGCCAGGGGAAGCCCAGTTACCTCAACATGATAGATCTGTGGTTAATTGCTCACAGTAAATATTAGCAAGTTCTCATCACTGCAGATTGTGCAATACCTTTTCCATGCCTTAGTTTATTAACTGTTGCCACATAATTAAAGTAACTCTTTAAAACAGCTGGAGCCTATTCTTCAGCTCAACTACAAGAAAATAGTAAATGAAGTTTAAAAAATGGATTACACTGAAATGGATGCTTTAAAATAAGGTGAAACTAAATGTGACAGGGGGGTGCAGGTGGCACAGTGGTTTAAACCGCTGTGCTGCTGGGCTGCTTGATTGAAAGGTCGCCGGTTCGAATCTGCAGACGCGGTAAGTTCCTGTTGCTCCGTCCCAGCTCCTGCCAACCTTGCAGTTCGAAAGCATGCAAATGCAAGTAGATAAAAAGGTACCACTTTGGTGGGAAGGTAACAGCGTTCTGTGCACTTCGGTGTTTAGTCATGCCGGCCACATGACCACAGAGACCATCTGCAGACACACACTGGCTCCCTTGAAACGGAGATGAGCACTGCCCCCTAGAGTCAGACATGACTGGACTTAACGTCAAGGGGAAACCTTTATCTTTACCTTTAAATGTGATAGACATCACTGGCTGACACAGAAAGCATTAATCCCAGGTTGAGTTCCTTCTCTTCCCTTTGTGATGTCTCAGTCTGAATGAACCTTAATGGATTCATTCAGAAGAGATTTCATGTTGCTAAATAAAACAGAGAAAACTCCAACAGCCACCAAAAGTTCGGTCTCTCTGGCATGCTTTTCAGTTTAGGAAGCCCTATTTTTGAGCCTGACCAAATGATGACTTCATTCAAATTAGTTACCTCGAAGTTGTAAGAGGCATGAACATAAAATGTGCTTAAAGAACAGTGCAGGTAACACAACTGAAAAGCTGTTGTGCCAAGAGCTCTGCTGGAAATGGTCCCCTTTCAGCCAAATACAGATATTTCAGAATAGCAAATGCAAGAAGCATGCCAGTATAGTAAGTGGAATTAAATGGGCCAAGCACAATATGAAGAAAACATGCCTACACCAACTTTACATCCAAGTGCTGTAAATATATTCCATCCAGATTATATCAGTTTTCAGAAATATAATCAACCTAATACACAGATTTCTTCTTCCTGCTCTCATTTATCTGAATTAATTCATTTCAATTAACATTGTTAAGGAAAACCTGTTTCCAAATTATATTTGCTACTGGGATAGTATGTCATTCAGAGCTGCTGCCAGATTAATAAGCTGCCTTCCATGTGAAATCCATCTTACCTTTCAAAAGCATTATGACGTATTTTTCTGTTAAACGCAGCACTCCATGGTCGATGTAATGCAGAAGCGTGTGCAAAGGGAGACATCGTACTCCCAGCCCCACGTGCAGAGTATGAAATCCTGAATCAAGAGGGAAAAAACCCGATGTTGTGAAGAAAAATATGATGATTCTTGACAGAAACTAATCACAGTGGTACATAACTATTTATGGGCAGTGGATATAAAACTGTCCCCTAAATGCCATGAATAAGCTTTGGAGTCCCAAACAAAAAAGTGTTTAGAAATGCAGCATTCTGGCCTTACAATATATGTTTATGGAAGCATGTTAGAATATAACATTAACCCATTTCATCACTTAGATGAAAAATGCCTTTACAAACTCAAGAAATTGCTTGTACCCTCTATAACACTTCAGTATCTCGTTACAACAATGCATAGCTAAATTTGGGCCCAGATAATGTAAAAAGAAAAAGCTGCTGAGATTATTGCAGTAGTAAAACTGTACACTGCTAATATATACTGTGGTCCTATGTGCCTGAAAGATGGAGGATGAAATCACCCCCATGACCAGAACAGTAGTTGATTCTTCGGCTGACCAAAAATTGCTCAAGGACGCAGCCCAACATTCCTTGCCTTCATGGCACACAAGCCTCTGACTGCATCCTGTGCATGGAGGGAGACATGATGGCAGCGGTCTTTGCTCCCGCCACAGCCATGCACCATGCAGTCAATCTAGATGGTTGTTTTTGACTGCCTACATAAAGCACTAGGGAGGCATGATGGCCAAGAGAAAAGGGCCCGAGTCCCCTCTGCACTAGCTTCCTCACATCCCTTCCCCCAGCATGCTCCTCCCTCCCTTCCCCAAGGCCCAGCTGTGATCTTGGGCACGCAGCCAGTGGAGTCCTGCTTGCACCAGCTGTGCGTGTGAAGTACTTTTGAAGCGGCATTACGTAGTTCTCTGTTGCATCAGTCACAAAGATGAAATGCAATTATTTGTATTTTTAAGAGAACTCCCTTTTAAAAAGACACCCCACAAAACAGGTTTGCACAAAAGGTACTGCCACATTCATCTGTCATCATACATAATCGAAAATGATAATGAAACATCCTAAATTAATGTTCCTGATCAAAAGTGAGCTTTCTTTTCCTCAGCACGCAGTTATGCAACCACTCATTGTGCTCTCACAATGAGCAAGATGATTAGCCAAGTCCTCTGGTGAGCACATTCTTAATTGGATTAAAAAGCAAGCCAAAGATTGGGCCTGATTATACACCCCTTGCTGCTCTGACAAATTATGCAGTGACATGGAATACAGGTTGGTATGAAGACATTTCTTCAAGTTTCTTCTTAGAAATCTTCCTGCTGCTAACATCAGAAAAACAATTACGCTTGTCACGAGTGGCCCTTCTGAATCCTCACCACTCGCTCAGATGAACATTAATATATTGTCTAGGGGCTCAAAAATCTAAAACAAGCATTCATGAGGGAAAGCGTTTAAAATGTATTCTTCACAGGTCGCTTTTAGCAAAGAAAATAAATGGTCAAATGTCTACATAGTTTTTGATTCTTCTTGTTATATGTTGTTTAATGAGGGCATAGTCAAGGTTTTCTTTATCTTCAGGGCAGGGATATGCTCCAGATGTTTCTAGGGCTCCAATTCCAAGCAACCCCTGCCAGGAGAGCCAGTGGGCCCAGTGGATAAACACAGCAACCAACCACATCTGGGGATGTACAGTATCTCCCTCCTCTGCCTTATATGTAGACCCATTTGGGAATTGAACTAAAGTTAATTTAGCTTTGCTGAATTACCAATTTACTTACACAAAGCTGGCTTCCACAAAAAGGGTATTATTAATTACAGGCATATTTTACGCTTCCTGCAAAAAGCTTAGGACAACATACATTTATTTGCCCTGAACAGTTTTAGCTTCACAACAGCCCTAATGTGGTAGGGTATGCTAAGGAACAATAACTGGCTTAAGGTCATCCACTGAGGCCCCTCGCCAAGTGGGAACCTCAGCTCAGGTCCCCGCAGTCCAACACTCCAACTCCTTGGCATGCCGGTGAGTCAATGCGGTGAGCCACTCCTCTGTCCCAGGGCTTACCGGGAGGCAGCGGCACACACATTCCATTGGCAGCCTGTAGAATCTGGCACATGATGTGGAATACAACCATCTCGTTGGATTTTCGTTGCTGTCTGCTGTGTGAAGAACAGTAACAACATAGAAGTAAGCACACCTCTGGTGTCTGTAGTCCAGCTTCACAAGCCAGGGAAATGCCAAGCATAAGCATGGAAATGCTTTCCTTGTCACCCACCTCATGTTTTGGCTTCTACACAGATACCTCTTGTGGAGGGTGTGTGTTTCCTTTTTATTTAAAAACAAAAACACCAGAACACAGAAACAAAAACCCAGGCTTAATACCCTGGTTTGCAAACTTGCATTAAGCCAGAATGCTAGGTTTTAGACAAAATGGGGAACTCAGGTTTAAGTAAACCGGGAGCTCCATGTCACAAACAGCATGTGATGAGACACGAGGAGGGGGGAGGAAGGGAAGGGCTCAGTTACCACCATGTTTTATAGAGCTGGGATTCTTGCATCTATCCCTTTGGCTGCTTAACTATCTGCACACTAAATGTACATCATCAATTGAAAGCTGAGAAAGGAGACTCTGGAATAAGTCCTGCTAGAAAAAATAACCCAAGAATTAAGGACCACACACAACAATGCATCTGCCACTGGCTTTCATGCATCCTGTGATCCTCAGATTTCTTTAGCTAACCAGAGTCACGGGAGTTGAAACCTCCGCAATCAGGTGTACTGATTTAGAAAGACCTGATTCATACCATTGAGAAAATTTAGATTGGTAGACCCTTCGGAGCAGTTTAGTCCTACAGTTTTATACAGTGCTTTTTTTGTAAGAAAAAAAGGTGCCAGAACTCACATCTTGTTAATCTTTTATTTAAAAAAGTATACATTCAGTTCTTAACATAATTTAATTTATTGTATTTAAGGCAAATGTTCATAGTAAATTCCAAAGTTTTGTCCAATTCTCGTCCGACAAATCTTCTCAACTCCTTTCCCTGCTGTTAGTATCTATGTGTCCTGTCATTGTGTCTGTTAATATTCTGGCCTTTTTATTGGTGGTTGAGAAGTAATTAGTAATTTTTCTCATTTTTAAATTTGGGGTCATACTTTTACACTAAAAATCTAAAAAGGATTTTCAATTCACCAACTTTTTTTAAAATAAATTATTAACCTTTCACACATAGTCAATCACTGTACACACACCCACACACACCAGTTGTGTAATGAAACATAATGGTTACTGCCCGCAGTAAGCACTCAGCGCACGACCACACAACCAATCACAAGCCAAGCAGTGCCACAAGCTAAGCAGCGCCATCACAACCAGTGTGGACGAAGTACGCATGCATCGCATTCGACACACAAGCAGCCCACATGCACCGTTTTAATGATTTTGCCGCCCACCTGCTACGCTCGACAGAGCGATTCAAATCCACGTGGACCAAACATCAAATTTTCAAAAGTTACTTTTAAAACTTGGAAAATCCATCGAAAAAAGGTGCTGGAACTATGTTCCGGTATGTTCTATGACAAAAAAAGCATAAAAAAAAAAAACAGTGCTGGTTTTACAGCACTGGGTATTGCTATAGCCAGGTCATTGCTGATAAGTTATTGCATACTTGGTGGCAGTACATTTTCATGTTCTGTGCTCTGACGATGAAATAATAAAAATTACACCCCCCCATCTAAATGGATATCTTGGAGTTCTAATATATATAATCTAGATCAGTAGCAGCAATTTGTCCTCTAGACGTTTTGAATTACAACTCCCATCAGCTCTAGCCGGCACAGACAGTTCACAGGAGTCATGTGGAGGGCCTTGAGTTGTTCTCCACAATCTAGGAGTTTGCACTGGCATATCTGCCTATCTGTCAATTGTAATCTTAATGCTGCAGTAGCATCTGGACCATCTAGCCTCTTTTACCTGTTTATTATAGATATTATTAAAGGAGAAGGAACATCAACAGGACACAGCACGTGGAGTGAGATACAGCTAGATTTCCTCACCGCAGTGTGTCACAATACATGTTCTTTTTTATTATGTATTTTATTTTATTTAGAAAATACGTAGGCCGTCTGTCACCTCTGGACAGCTTACAACATTATTTCAATCCTCAATAAAATAAGTTAACTGTTTCACACTGAGCATAAAACTAATCTATTTAAAATAAATTAAATAAATCTAACACAATTAAAATTACTATATGTTAAAAACAATTTGGTCCCCTTGCTTGAAAACAGAGGGTGCCTGGACTCAGCTCCACCCTACCTCCAGAAATGTAGAGGATGCCACATTTCTCATGCATATACAGTGGATATTTTTAATGTTGCTGCCGCTGCTATGTCTCATCAAGTTGTCTCCAATTTATTATGACCCTGTGAATGAGTGCCCTTCAAAACATCCTGTTCTTGACAGGCCTGCTCAGCTCTTGTCAACTAAAAGCTGAAGTTCCTTTCATGGAACTGACCCATCTCATAGCTGGGTAATGTTGTTAATGGCACACCTTATTCTCCTGCGTGATGAACAAAAGTTAAAAGAAAAATTTAAAAACTTCACATGGTACAGCTCAAATGAGACTGTATATGACTTCTGCCCAGAGGTGGGAGACGTGGGAAGAAGCAGCGTATTAAGAAGAAAGGAGAATGCTGGACTAAAATGTCCCCTCCCACATCGTACTAGGTTTTTACACAGAGATTTTTTTTCTTAACACATCCAGTTCCACAGCTAGATTCTGATGTTGGGCAGTCTCAGGAGGTCTGTATCATACAGCTTATCTGTCACCTTCACTACACTACGCAAATTAGTGAGCAAAATGCTGTGTTGCAAATATTAGGCTTGACGGAAGAGTCCATTAACTGGAATCTATTCCTCTTTGTTTAAGACACTCACTGGTTCATCGAGGACAAAGGAAAACACAAGAATGTATAAGGAATGACTGTTCTGGGCACAGAGTTAATTTTCCACACTAAGCAGCTGTTCACTGGCAAGGTCAGTGCCCCTGTTACATTTATTTTAGAAGGCAACATAGTGCCAGGCAGTAACACTGCATGCTCTTCTGCAGGGGCCCCACTCAGTGAAAGTCCATCTGGAGGAGATATCTGGGTTGAGTACTGAAGACTACCAGTATCCAAACAGAAACAGACTAGAGGAATAATTGTGCAGGGCTTCCTTATATCAGATGACTCCTACCCGCAAATCTGAAATATTCAGACCAGCCAACTCACAACATTCCTCTGGTTTGTCACTGATGTGGTAGCTGCACTGTATAAAGAACTATGAGAGAGCATCTCCCTTCAGGAAAGACGGGTCCTTGGAGAAATGATCAAATACCACCATCTGGATACCTTATTAAGCTGGATCTTATCATATATTCGCAACATGAAAGCTTGGAAGAAAACTTGCCTTGGTTGGACAGCCAGCCACAGAGTAGATGGCAAGATAAGGGTCATGACATATACTGGGCAGTAACAAGCATGCTGGCTCCCAAAGACATCAGCCGACCAATTTCAGCTCACCAGGGGGTGTGCTTGGACTGAAATGAAATATTGCTCAACCATTTCTGGTGGTGATATTTAATATGCATTCACGTTCTTGTGTTGAGGGCCAGTTAGAATGCATCTATTTGGAAAAGTGGCATACAAATTAAAGTAACAATTTTTGAAATAGCAAAGATTAAGTAAAGTTATTAAAACACCAAGAATAACGCCAATAATAAAATTGGCTGAAGAGCAGGCCTCTCCGTGCCATATTATCGATTTCTTTGAGATATCCTCTTAGTTTCAGAAGTGGTCCACTATGGGAATGGGGAAGGGCTCAGTGTTCAATAAACGTAAGTTCAGAGGTGCCCTTGGTACACAGAACTAATTGTGCAGTCCTGGTCTTGGCCATTTTGTTTTAAGGGCACAACCCTAAGCAAATTTATACAGAAAAGGCCTACAACTCCCAGCATGCTGGGACATGCAGGAATAGACACCCTTTTCCCTGTCTTCTCTGGCATTGGATCTTGTTCTCACCCACATCAGTGTTAGGTTATTTTTTTTTATGATAACTACTTACAGCGAGAAGGCCCAGGAATCAAGACTGTATTTCTTCCACACGTTCTCCATTATCCAGCATATTAGATCCAGCTAGAAGTTTAAAAAAAGTATATTTGAATTCTTACATGGCAGGTCCTCAGCTTTTCTTTTTCTTAGGGTGCTTCCAGACAGAGGGCTCCCAGTGCTACCAGTCACTTGGCTAGTCTATTCCCCCCACCCAGTTAGATTTTTTGTGGGGTGGGGAAAAAAAAGAAGAAACTGCAGGGAAACGTGGAAGGGATTCCAGATAGACGACAACAGTGCCTCCCCGCAACTGAGCGATAGTAAAAGTCTTGCCTGGAAGCACCCTTATTTTCATGTAAACACCATCATGTATTCAGTGTACTTGAGCAGATTCCAAAGCTGTAATTCTAAACACAAATGATGGAGGGTAAAGCCCACCAAACTCGGTAGGACATCATGCTAAGTTAATATGGTTAAAATTGCACTGCCTGAAAGCAATTCTGTGTGCACCTACTTTGGAGGACACCTCATCCAAAGTCAATGCAACTTACTTTTGACTCTCAAGTAAACCCACTGCCGGAACACAGCCCCCTGGAACTCTCCCTCAAATTATAATTTATACCATGGGCATAAAATCCACCAGGCCTGATCCAGAGATTACCCCATCCCCAGAATAATGACCTCACCATTCTGGGCACTTTCCTGCTCCCACAGTATTCTCACATTCAAGGGAAATTGTTCAGGCTGTGCTAAAATACAAATTTTTAAAGGGATTAGGTGCGCAATCTACCTTTGCATATGGGCTCCATTTATTCCAATGGGATTTGCACTGGACAATTTCCCAGAGCCTGAAACACTGGTTTGTTGAAAAGAAGACAATCCAGTGATAGAGACAGCTTGGTTCCCTGTAAATCCATCCCTGTCATTACCAAGTCTTCTCTAAATATGTGTGGCTTAGTGGTTAGGGTGTTGGACTTGGACTCAGAAAATGAAGCTCACTGGGTGCCTTAGGGACAGTTACTGACTCTCAACCTAACCTACCTCACAGGGTTGTTAAGAGGATAAAATGGAGAGAATTACATAAATTACCTTGGGCTGCTTGCATGACAAAAAGGGGTTTATACGTAAATATAATGTAATAATAATATTTTTTTTAAACCAACCAGTTTTGAAACATAATCCACAGCTATTTGCTCAATCTTCTTTTTGCCAACATATTGTAGGTGCCTCATGAAATGATCTTTCAACTGTGCAACCATCTAGAAAAAATAAAGCAATAACTACAATTCTAATATTAATGTTGAAAACAGATAAAGACTAGTTGTAGCAAACTAATAACCATCGATGCCTTTACCAGATGAACATAATAATTAGCATGTTGGCTGTCACTTTCAATTGTGCTATTGTGTTTAATAGGTTCTACTAGGTAAACACCCACAGGATTGCAAGCTAGGCTGCAAATCATAACATTGAAACATCAGAGACAATACTTTTTTCAGCAACTAAAGACTGTGCTGGCATTGAAACAGCAGCAGCAGTAGTTTTACATGGTGCAACATGGAAGTGCTAATAAGAGCCAGGACAGCTTCACTGAATGCATAACAACCCTCTACATGCTACTCCATGTAACCTTTAATAAGAACATTATGGAGATCACTGCCATTCATTTTCAGGAGCAGTTCTTAAAAAAATGACACAAAGAAAAAAATCCAGTTCAGTAATGTTTAAAACAAGGACCCTGTGGTAAAGTCAGATTTACCACTTAAGTCACATGGTCTACAACAGCATCCTACTCACTCCTTTTTGTATATAAACGTTTCCCACTGCCAGAAATGTTTATTCTTAGGCATGTGCAAGCAGAGAAACAAGTTCATGTGGTTTCTCACTTCTACATATTCCTGTGAATGAAAGAACAAATGAAACAAGAGATTTTCTGCACAGCATGCAGACGGAGCGGGGAGAGTTCCCTTGTTCTCACAGGTGTGTATTCTCAGTTCCAGAAAAGTATAGATTAAGGACCAGAACTTCCATATAGAGGAATCCACTTCACAGGATGCTCCCAGCAGGGGGAAGATACAGTGGTATTTTCACAGCTGCCCGCAGGCGAATTTTCAATGTCATGATTACACCCAGATGTTCAGGATATGACCTAACAGCAGATCCATGAGCTAGAATACACACTTTCTATGTGTAGCGATCTACACTCATTGCAGCATCGCTGCTCCGCTGATACAAGGAAGCAGAGCTTCACAAAGAAATGAAATGACAGTCACCGGCATCTGCATGGCTTGTTCACACTTGTTAAGCAATACTGCCAAAGACATACCAGTCCTGTTAGCAATTGCTGCTGGTAATCATCATCTTGGAAAAGAGGAACTAGCCTTTCTTCTGAAATTAAGCATAAGAGAGAGAGAGGGTATGATTTAGGGCCCTTTGGGGGACAAGATCCCCACATTTGCAAAACTTTTAAGTTGGGTGTTACACTTAAACCTCCCAGAGAGCTTCAGCTATCAAACAGTATGAAATGAAATTTTAAAAGTTTGACTGGTTTTGATGACTCAAGATTAAGAATTTTATACAGATCTTCAATGTTGCCTCCTCAAGTCTTGTGGGTAAGCGAGGCAGGAAATATAGAAGGCAAAATTAACCCTTGCAAAAGTGCTGCCAAAGCAACTATTGAAGCAGACGAATACCGTCCTCCTTTTCTGAACTGATATGCTGTGTAGCGAGTTAATAAATATGTCACTTCAGCATCTCCACATGTTGTGGCAGCTTCTGGAAAAGCACACCTAGTTCCCCCTTTTCACACGCTGCATTTGTTATTTACTTCCTCAAAAATGGTAGTGTGCTGATGGGCTGAGAAAGAAGCCACCACCTTTTCCTCACCAGAAGACACGCACTGTTTCAGTCGCAGTCAGTGTCTAGGGAAACCACAGAACTGCCTTTCCCAGACCGGTGCTGCCCTAGCTGTGTCGGGGGCACAGGCTCAGTGTGGCTAAGGAAGGCCGGCATCAAGGGTCCTCTTTCTCCGAAAGCAAACCCAGCCACTGTTTAGGACAAGCCCGGTTAAGGGTGGCCTTCCCAACAAGCCTGAGAAGACAAACCTAGCATGAAGAAACTCTGCTCACCACCATGATCCCTTTAGAGCCAGCAGGCCCACAGGCCTCTCAGAAACAATACAAAGTACTTTCTGTTCTGGACGTGACATTTCTAACTCGCATCATGCACAGAACCCTTGAAGAGAAAAATTAATGACTGAGCTGTAGGATGGCATTTGTTACATCTGAAACAAAACTCTCCTTCTGGCCATTTTGCCCACTCAAGCAAAATGAGCCGTACAGCCGTAGTTTGGGGCCACTGAATTTGACTGGAATCCACAAGAGGTCACTTTACAACAAAACCCTGGTATTTCCAAATACCAACTGGTATTTCAATGCATTTCATGGTGGCTACTGGTGCTTCCATCCTGGGCATGGATAACTGGGAGTTCCATCATAAAATGTCTTTAGAATCTCTATTCCCCCAGCTAACAGCCTACAAGTGCTAGGATGAATTTGTGACAAGTGAGCACAGAGGAGGCTTGATCTTCCTTGTCTTATTTCTTTTGATCTAATGCCATTTCAAACATAAGCAAAGCAAGTATGTCTGCCTACAACTTATTTCCTGCGGCAATAATTCTAACAGGAAAGTGCTTCTCTCAAGAAATCTAGAGCAACATTCCTGCAGTCTAGTGAAAAACTGATCTCTCTCTCTCTCCCTCTCGCTCGCTCTCTCCCTCTCTCGCTCGCTCGCTCTCTCTCTCTCTGACACACACACACACTTTGGCAGTCCTGAATGAGGCACATTATGTCCAAAATGTCAGTCTACAGTGACCAGTGGGAAAGAATTTTGATTCAAAATTAAAATTCCACTACTTGGGTCCATTCAGCAGCAGTGAATGCTAGTCTTACCTGCCTTCCATGTTTTCAACCCAGAAATGACCCTAGGAGAAAAGAGAAATGTTTTTGAAGAGCTTCAAAAGGAGCACAACTAAAGCTGCTGTAGAAAAATGGCATTCGACAGCAACTTACACCACATCCATTAATGTTTGCAATGGAAAATATCAAGAACTGAAGACTTTGGCCAGTGGGAATTACTGGAAATGTTATGCCTGTTATTTGCTATGGCTGGATTCCATAAGGCAAGCATTCAATAGGCATTTCACAAGGAGATGGAGCAGCTCTTTGTTAATCCACAGAGAAGGGCTCGGAGGTAAAGAACCATATTTACATGCATATCTAAGTGCTGCGGTCAGAGAATTCACCCCGTGGGGGCACTTCAGAATTGCATTAGTATTCTGTGGGGTGCAATCAAGGATCTTGAGTTTTACATACTGGGGAGAGGAAAGCTTTGCAGCCAGTGTGGAATGGTGGACTGGGACTTTGGAGATCTGGGTTTTAGTCCCCTCTTGGCTAGGATGCTCCCTGGGTGACTTTGTGCAGTCACTGACTCTCAGCCTAACCTACATCACAGGGTTGGTGTGATGATAAAGTGGAGAAGATAGGTAAGTTGTCTTGGAGTCCCTGAAGAAAAATGGTGGGATAACAAACAAGCAGATGTGTGGCTGAACTTGCAGCAATTCTGTTGTAATTTACGATGTGCTACTCTATGGAAAGAATCCCACATTGAAAAGGAGGTTAGCTGCCCCTAAATTAAAAATAGGATTCTGACAAGAACTTATATTTAGTCTTCACATCTAAGTATGTTCTACAGGGGTGTTCAAAGTGCAAAATAACAGACTGCTATGTGGACAGGTAACTGTACGTAAGTCGGCATCTTGGAGACCCTTTACCAATCCATGGGACAGAAAACTAATCTACATTAGGATTAAGATTATTTTTTAACACTGAAGTAGAACATATAATCTCTTTCCCTGGAATAAACCATGCATCTGTAGGCCCACATGAGCCACAAGACTGCTTAAAGGCATTGCTTTCCCTAAAGTCTGAATGAGTGCCCAGCAATCAATACTAAAGTATTTGTCAATACTAATGTCTTGATCAATACTAAAGTCACTGAGCAATATTAGATCTCTCTCTGCAAATGTTCTCTATTTAGAAAGATCCACTTATAGAACAGAATTTGATCAAAATTGAAAACATAATTGTTTGCAATAGTACACTGTTTGGAATGCAATTAATTCTTGATAAAAAGGAAGCATCATCCAATAAAATGTTAAAGCTGGATATGGAACAAGCTGTATTATAGCCATTCTATCTCAGATGTTCCAGGTGCAGTGGCTTTCTTCCTAAACCAAAGACTCTTGAGAGGTTTGGCCTCAATATCTCCCCTGTGGTTTTCCCTGCTCATCAGACTCTCAGGATATTTCCTATGAATGAACTGGAAAACTCCCTTGTATTTGAAAGGATTAGCAACATTTTTTAATTACAGGATAGTATTTTAAGATGCATCATTTATTATCCACAAGGCCTCAAATTGTTTCCCTTATTGAATAAGAACAATCTGTCTCCTATGCGTATGCCTGGAAAAGCTGACCCAATGGCATCGATGAAACTTTGTGACTTTCTTAGCCAGACTCGCTTAGCCAAGTGCCTGCCCACTCACTTCTTCTGAAACCTTTACAACAATCTTGGACTAAAGGACTGATATTAATAACTTCCTCCAAATGTTATTAGTGGAAGTCCAACCTATCCAAGATGGCAGAACGATGTAGTTAAGTCCTTAGAAGAAAATGGCTTGTGGTGTACCTACATCTTGATCTACCAACACTAAAGAATAAAGGATAATGGAAACACAAGACAAAGTTCTCGGTGGTACATACTGTAGATCCAGCAAGCTTTGGCTGCTACAACTTATCGACCTTCAGTACTGGTGTAGGTTGTGGTCTGATTGGTTCATACCCCCATCTTGGATGGGAACATTCAGTGGTGCAGTAATAATTGAACATGTTTGCTGTTAAATTCATGTCTGGAATTTAACCTATTTAAACTACTTGTAATTCTTAAAGCTGGGCTCCATCATTTTGAATCCAATGATCTGGGATTATTTATTATTACATTTATATTACTTTTTCCTCTTGCAAGGAACCGAGGGCAGCTACCATGGCCCTCTTCCCCTCCATTTTATCTCACAGCAACTCTACAACATAGGCTAGAATAAGTGTTGGTCACCTGGTGAACTTCATGTCTGAATAAGGACTAAAATCCAGATCTCCTCACACCAATTAGATTCCCACAAAAGACTTACTTAAGCAATTATATACAGCAGCTAAGTCAAGCATAGAACATAACTAAAAGACTTGAAAGTAGCCAAACAATAGATCTGGGGGTGGGGGAGGGAAAACTATGTTTATATACAAATTTACTCAGCAAGTGCAATAAGCAAGAAATCCCAATTTTGAAAGCATACTATAGTATAATTTGTATTTCCTATATGTGAGCCCTTCAAGTTTCTGGTCAAATTCCAATCAAGTAATGATGCTTATATTTAATGGCATCTGATTAATAAAGCACCCACGTGGGGCTACCCTTGAAGACGGTCTGGATACTTCAATTGGTGCAGAATAGAGCTGCCAGGTTGTTCTCATATAACCCCAGTTCTCTGCCAGCTCCACTGGCTCCCAGTTGAAGTCCGGGCCCAATTCAAGGTGTTGGTTATGACCTATAAAGCCCTAAATGGCTTGGGACCTGGATATCTAAAGGAACACCTACACCCATATATGCCTTTGAGATCAGCAACGGATGCCCTTCTCCGGGAACCCTCTGTGAATGATATTAGGAGGGTGAGTACCCGGAGGAGGGCTTTCTCTACGGTGGCACCCCACCTATGGAATGCACTCCCCAGAGAGGTCCACCTGCCACCATCATTATTTGTTTTTCAGCGCCAGGCTAAGACCTTTTTATTTAAAACTTATTTTAATTGCTAAATTATTGAATTAATTAGGATTTTAAAATTAGCCGAGAATGCACCGGGGGTTTAAAAATGTCTTTTCTTTTAAATTGTTATAGTACTATTATTTATGTATGTTTTTATGTATTCTTTGTGAGCCGCCCTGAGGCTTTGTTGCGATGGGGGTGGCATAGAAATGTTTTAAATAAATATTGGGATAGGAGCTGATTATGGTGTAGTAGAAAAGGACAAGAGACAGAGGCTTGCAAAAGGTTAACTAAAGCTGGATAAAGGTCACACACTTGGCCTGGATAACCTCTGCCTAGTAACAAATTGGTACTAATAACATTCAGCTGGAGCATTCTAGGACAGAAGTCCATGAGGCTGGCTCCATAAAACACAGCCACTTTGTGTAGAACAGAGCCAGAGCGGCACACAGGGCCCAGGCCCAAGAGACTCATCCAACAGTAGTCAAGACTGGTTCTGAATGCTCCCAAAAGATAGCCTGGCCTTCGAAATGAAAACTTTCAGCTGGCCAAACCTTAGCCAATTGCTTAGTATGTCAGTAGTTAATACAGTTCACTTCAACAAGTATATACCAAGTATATTTGAGTTTCAAAGAGACACTATCACGAATGACCACAGAACAACCTCTTACTTTGCTTGCATATGGCTGTCTTTAAAAGGACCTTTAGAAGATCTTTCATCCATGAGTGTGTTAGTACTGCAAGCTATGCTTTTTCTGTATTGGCATCAGGTCACATTATACTAGCCATGTTAGTGAAAATGACTTGCATGTGGCAAGAGAGCCCTGGCTCAGGCTGAAGGCATCGATCTAGTTATTAGGCGAATCTCTACCATCACAGTGACCAAATTCGCAGGACTGGGGAAGAAAACCATGGCGGCTGACAGAAATACAAAGCAGGGATGAAGACACTCCATGTGATGGCAGAAATCCTCACGGTAAGAAGTTCTGCATGTTACAGGTGAGGAATGGATCATTTGCCATGAGGAGTCATTTGCTATTGCTAGGGGAGTCTACAAAATCTTTTCCTGTCATCTGACAGGGCTTGAGAACACATGGCCCTCGAGATGTTTTGGACTATAACTCCCATCAGCTTGAGTCTGTTAAGGGATTATGTGAGCTACGGTAGAATAACATGGAGAGCCAAGTGTTTTCCACACTTGCCTTTAATGCAGTTGGTTTCCTGCCTTGGGAGATACTCGCTGAAAAGATTTATAAATCTCTTCCAAACTCATTTGCGGTCATAATATGGCTATAATCCAGTAACAGATTCCTAAACACTGTGAACTCTCTTAGCATTTAAAGACACTAAAGATCACAACACACTGAAAACAAGCTGTTCTCTTAAAATGCAGCCTTTCATATAATCCAAACTAGGAAGAATATCTTAAAAGGAAACTTACCGTTTTGCATGGACAAATATATTTTTCATATCTGTTGTTCTTTCTTCAGTAGTCTAACACAAAATGTAAATTATCTGAACTGAGAATGTTATAAAATGCAGCCAAATTTATTCTATCAGCTTCTAATAAGAACTATGGTCACTACAGAATACAGTCAGATTATAAACAAATGCCTCCAAGTCTACATCAAAAATAGTGGAACTGATGCAGGGAAAAGGCAAGATCTCTTCTTTTCAGAATACAGGTGGGGCCAGCATAGATGCAACAGGGAAACCATGACTTGCTGTTCTGTCTCTCCTCTCCTCTCCTTTAAATGGAAATGTCCGAACAAGTTAGGATCTGAGACAATAGTCTGACTCTGACTTGTTCTAACAAACTATAGTTTAAACAAGCCACAGCTGATCAACTATATGAAGCTAGATGTACAAAGCCCGTATTGGCTTCCTGAAGTCTCTGTCAACCACACTGGATTAAAGTATCCCACATGTTTAGACTGAAGACAACCAAAGTACTTAAATAGAATCCCTACTCCCAAGATACTGTATTTCTGAATAAGTTATAAGAATTATCAAGATATTGCTGTCTATCATTTTTACACTGGGTGATAAACTTTTTTACACGCACACATATGCAACCTATCAATCAAAATGGTGTGTCTACAATCATGCTGTCAAACTTCCCCTTTCAGCTAAAAATAAACAGAAATTCTATCCTTTCATTATACAATGTTTGCAGATCAGCACAGTGTAAAGGGAACACTGGTTTTAGTTTTCCCAAGAGATGTTCCGAAGTTTTGATACAGCCACCTTTTCTTCCTCAATACCATCATGGTTGTTGTTTCTGTTGTGGTCGTGATTCTAATATCTCCAGTAGCAGGTTGGAGTGAACAATTCTGTGCAGTTTAGTCAGTTTGCAAATACATCTACATATTTAAGAACATGACATTAATTCTAGAAGTACATTTACCTCATCTAAGAGCAGCTTATCCCATTCCTGCTTAAGCTCCTTGCAGTTGAAATGCAAGTGTGGCTCAGCGCATTTCACACATTCCAAGCTCAAATTTAACTTCTCCCAAAAGCCTCTGCAATGTTGTACCTCAAATAATCGAGAAGGAAAAAGAGGGAGGCAAAGTTGTTTGTTAAACATATGCGTATGCAAGTTTTTGTCTCTCTTGTAACAAAACATACACAAAACAAGGTTATGACAAATGCAGAGTCCAAGATCAGCAACTGGGGAATTTTAAAATGTTTTAAATGGGAGAAAAGGGATAGTTCACCCCCTACACACCAGCTTTTAGTGTAGCTTCAAAACTTGCAAGTTTAAATTAAGAACATGCAATAGCCATTTTATTTCTGAAGCCCTGAGAGTATAGGAAGTATCTCCTGAGATAACAGTAAGTTGTGGAAGTATTAGACAATTAACTCTGCTTGGTATTTTAATAATTAGACACACACTGAGAGTTTTCGCATCAGTATGCATTTTGTCCCCTGCCCCGAATATTAGATGATCTTTGAACAAGTTCCTGTAGAACCACTATGTTGATTAAAACATGCACATGGATTTTG